TGAATACAATTTTATTTTCTTTTTTTAAAAAAATTGGGGTCTCTCGTTTAAAATGGAATACCTATGGGGTTAGGAAAAGACCAACATTCCACAATCTGAAAAAATGCTTGGAATCACCTGTTGCCAGAATCTGGGCAAAATTTCTATGATAAAGTTGATGAGTCTGTAGTGAGAAAAATGATTTGGACCATCGAGTTCTTTCCCTCATGCACAAGAACAGCCCACCCATGGAAAAAACTTAGGGAGATCCTGGAGATCCTTGGAGACCTAGGTTTTATACCATGTAGAAGCAAGCACAGCCATTCCTTCATGGTAAAGTTGCTGCTTTCGCAAGTGCCAGTGGACTAGTCCTGCCACCTGCTCCTGTGTTCTGATACATATTTAGAGAAAGCCACTCCTAGTGGAAAGGAAGACTAGTGTCAGGAATTTTGGTGCAGGGCAGTCGCAGCTTAATGGAACTGGGCTAGAGGTTCTTGCTAATTATAGTTCTATGCATCCTGGGAACTATTTTCTCCCCACATCCTACTCTTGGCAAGGTCAGAGACAAGAGGCAACCAGTGACAATGCGTATGGGAGAACAGAGTTTGTCTTGTACCACACTACTTTCACTGAATGATCTGGTGTGAAAGATGTGCAGCATGATCCAGTGGGGAAGAGAAGCCAACAGAAGAACTATCATTTGTATTTATTCTTATTGAAAAAGAAGGAAAATATTAAGCTTTACCAGTAGTTAGCATACAAATTTACACTCCGGCTTCATCAGGGTTATCTGCAGCATCGGTGAGGACCTGAGGAAAGAGTAGAAGCCCATATTTTGGAGAAACTGACAGTGGTGCCCATTTTCATCTTTCCCTTTTGTAAGACCACGGCATCTTGTGGGTGATGGAGTTATGCGTTTGATTTTTTTAAACTTAACTTTTCCTCGTAACAGGCACATGGTTTCAAAGTCAAAGAATAGATTAAATGAGAAGACAGCGTATTAGAACAAACATAAAAGTTGGACACAGACATTAAAAGGGAATTGTGTTAGTTTAGGAAGCAAGGGCAAAAATATTTAGCAAAATAGAATTTAAATCTTCAATGAAAATAATAGAGAATATAAGTGGTAGTGCAGAAAATTTAATCAGGGCTATAGAAAACACACCTCAGATATTACCTTCTAATTCAGAATAAAAGCAAAAAGAAATTAAAGTGAAAGAGAAAAGAAGAATACAGGAAGGAGCAATTCATAATAGGCAAAACTAGGAAAATATTTAAACCATTAATAATTTTAAACTAAGACAAAATATAATTTTGACATCTCAAGTGAACAATGACAAAATTAAATGACAACATTTAGTTTTTGTAAAATGAAGACACCATAATTCCCATGTAGAGTTTATTTTAGTATTTATTGTTCATAAAAATCCTTGGCAGGTAATTAGGCATTGAAAGACATTATAAAACTCATACTTTTCCTATTTTATTAAATCCAATTGAAGGAATCTATACTAAAGATAAAATTAGGAACATTAAAGTAAAACAGTACACTGACCTGAATGTCTAATATTAGGGGACTAGTTGAATAAATCAAGACACACCTCTGTAGTTGAATATTTTGCAAAGATGAAACTCAGAATATCACCATTAAACTATGGAATTAGGTGATCAAACTCAAGGGTATGTGTGACTGTGAGATCATTTGTTAAAATGTCAACTAGATTGAAGGGTATACTTAATAGGGCTTCTAAGTATCTTAAAAATGTACAACCAACATTTTGGCTGGACCTGACCTTGTGATTCTTATGTTGCAAGATGCCCTCAGCAATAACCATCAGGAAACTTTGAAAGAAAGAATGTTTACTACTTACAAGTTCCGGAAATTACATAGCACAACTGGGGCCACACAGCAAGGTTGTAGGTAGAGAAGGAGAGAAAGAGAATATGGGCCTGAGGCTCTGCCTTGATTGGGATTGAAGGTGGGGCGTAGGGATTAGTGGGCTCACTCTTTATTGGTGAATTTAAAATATTAGAGCAGGAATTTAAAGTGTAAGAGGAGAAAAAAACAAGCAGCAGATACTGACTGTATAAAATAGATAAACAAGTTTATACTGTACAACACAGGGAACTATATTCAATACCTTTTAGTAGCTTATGGTGAAAAAGAATATGAAAACAAATATATGTATATTCATATATGACTGAAGCATTGTGCTGTACACCAGAAAATGACACAATATTGTAAACTGACTATACTTCAATTCAAAAAAAGTAAAAAAAAAATTATAAAGCCCTGATTTATGTCCAAAATGTCAAAAAATATGAAACTCTAAAAGAAAAAAAAAACAGATTAAAAAAACTAACATAAACCATGAATTCCAAAATGTATTTTTCACTATAGACACGTGGTGGCACCATTTTAGCTGCTTAGCAGCAGGACGGGAGAGCCTTTGTGAACATGGCATTAACACTGCTCTCAATCCGTGTGTGTGGTCTAAATTTGAGTGATAACTATTGTGCTGCTATTAAACATTTATCAGTGGTATTGCTAGTGTTAAAAATGCTCCAAAATATCAGTAACTTTGAAACAGAATTTAGAGGCGATAAAATTATTGATTATATATGTATACATTATTTTTAATTTACTATTCCCTTTGTTGTGGTCTGAATTGATATATCAAGTTCATATGTTGAAGTTTTAAACCTCAAGAACACCTCAGAATGTGACTGTACTTAAAGACAAAGTCTTTAAAGAAGTAATTAACTTAAAAAGAGGTCATTAGAGTGGGCCCAAATCTAATATGACTTGTGTCTGTATCAGAAAAGGAGATTAGGACACAGATAGGTATTGAGAGAAGGCCACATGGAGATACAGAGAGAAGATCTATAAGCCAAGGAGAAATGCCTCGGAAGAAACCAACCCTGATGACACCTTGATCTTGGACTTCTAGTCTCCAAACAAATAAACTTCTTTGTTTTCGATGCCCAGTCTACTGTACTTTGTTACTGCAGCCCAAACAAATCAATAGACATTTCAAATATGTTTCAAACCACACATATATTAGTTGTGGATTAATGTACTGTTTAAGAATGTAACCTCCTTATTATACATTCATTTCTATGGAGAAATGAGCCTCGATTTATGTGAGTTTTTAATTATCTGTGCTCTTCAGAAACCCTTGCCTCAAGTAAAATGCCACTATTTTAAATCTTGGCCATTTCCCTCTACTGAGCATTAATTCAGTATTTAACTCATTTACCCTTGCTCAGCAGAGTTTCAAGGAGTGGTTAAGGGTGCAGACTCCAAAGCCAGACCACTTGAGCTCACAGCCCACTTCATCACTAACTGTATGCCTCTGGGCAGTGACTTAAAAAGCCTGGGCCACATCTTTCTCAGATATCTGTAAAATAGGAACAATCATAAGAGTACCTGCATTAGAGCACTCTATAAGGAAAAAAAATTAGTTGATATATGCAAAGTGTGTAGAATAGTAATGGGAACTTAGTAGATGCAATTTTGCTGTCAATGAGCCTACTGCTTGATTAGCCTACATTTCTCTCTTTCAGAAAACCTTTTTATCCTTCAAGACCCAGAAAAAAAATGATACCTCAACTTTGAAATTTTAATGACTCCATTTACCCTTTCTTTCCAGGCTGAAGACTAAATAATCTTGTGTTGTCAAAGGTATTGCAGGGGTATGAGATTTGGTTTCTAATAACCTGGATTCAAATATGCATTTTTTCGATTTACTTATTGGAAGACTTCAGATAAGTTGCTCGATTTGTCTGAGTTTCCACATTATAAGACCCAGAGATTCTCAGTTAAGTATTTTTCTAATAAATACATATTTCATTTGTGGGTCTGGGAGTATGTCAACCACATACGATACTGCAGTGTTCCCAAAGTGTGGGAGTAACGGAGTTATCGAGATAATTTTAGGTGAGTTATAGACATGGCATTAAGGACACTGAATCATATAGAGAAAATCCTTCTTTCAATTTTACTTCAATCCTGCTGATTAGGTCAAGAAGAAAAAAATGGTGCTATGTTTTAAAATTCTTTAATGCTTGCTAATCTCCATTTTTAATCAAAAGAGATTCAGAGCCTTTATCAGGTAATATTTCGTTAGAACTAAATCTTTTTTTAAAATTAATTACACTTATTTTTACTTGTTAAAAAATTTATGACAGGTCATAGCGCTTTTTCCATTTACAGAAATGATACAAATTTTTCTTTTAAAATAAACTCATCCAAGTATAAAAGGTAGTTGATTTAAAGAAAAATATTACGTATATAAAAGCGGTATGTGTATATGGTGAAAATCACAGAGAATAATATACAGATTATTGACGTTTGGGCAACATTGACTTATACGAACTATTAGGAACGTTTGTACTGAATGCATTTCAGGGTAGCTACTAAGTTCATTCTCTAACAAAGATGATAGTAGCAATTAGTGTTTAATTTATAGTAGTCTCAAGAACGAACTAGGAACAATACAATGGTGAACTCAGCACAGCTGCTGCTCTTTTCCTCTGCACCAAACCCTGGATATTGCAGAAAAGCCCACGGGGGAGACACTGGACGTGGTAGACAGGTCTCTATCCCTTACTGTTATCCTCCACCTCACTTAGCCAGAGCTCTTCCTTCTGCAAGGTAAACAGGTAAACCTGAAGTTGATGGAGACTTTAGGGTGTTCGGGATATAACCTTTTTCAATCTTCAGCTCTGGCTGAAACTTTCTTAGGATACATTATTGCAATACATTTTGCAGCCGGTTTCCACTCAGATGCACTTCAGTATTAGTGATATCACAGACGTGGAGAATACATCTTGACTTCTAGATTTTAAGACAGTTACCCCAGTATTTTGCTATCTAGTAGGAGGCTAAACCCCTCGGTTCTCCTAAAAGCACGACTAACTGTGCGCCCGAGAACTTCCCTCGCGTGACTTCCTTATAGCTGCTTGCGGAAGCGCGCTGACGTCACAACGTCGTGCGTCGTGCGGACGTCGACGAGCCGCTCTGCGTCTCGGGTGTCCCGCCGGGGCCGCTAGTTGGGTGTTACTTTCCACTTCACGTTTTCGTCTCCGCTTCCGAAAGCCGGTTTGAATCCTGTCCGCCAGCCCCCTAAAGGGGGCGTCTCAAAGAAAACCGGACTGCGGGTGATGGCGCCCTCGCGTCGCGGGACCTTCTCCTGACGCCTCTGTCGCCCCGGGGGATGTGGACTCTGGCAGGTCTGGGCTGGAGGCGCGGCCGCGCACTCGCGACGCCGGCCACCCGGGCGGCGCGGCGGGGGCTGCTCGGGCCTCGCACCACGCTGGCCTGCCCGACTGCGACCGGGTGCAGGGATCCGGGCCGGCGATACAGCTCTGCAGGCCGCAAGGTGAGCGCTCCGTAGTTTCTCTGTAGCCGCGTGTTAAAAGTGGGTAGGGTGCTCCTGCCGACTTTGGAAAAGTGAAGGGCTCCCTGGGACTACTGTGAACGCAGGTGCGCCTCTGTAAGACGGGAGGTCTCGCAGCGCGGGCAGCGCGCGGGTTTCTTTGTTCACTGCTCACCGGTGCGACCTTGGGCGAGTCACGTCCTCACCTTCCTAATTTGTAATATAAGTAACTCCTTGATTGTTTATGCCAGGCACTGGTCTAAGTGTGTATTTAAGTTTAAAAGCCTATTGAGGAAGCTGCTAGTATAATCTCCATTTTCCTGCAATTTTTTTGCCGTGTAACCTGGGAAAGTTATTTGACCTTTCTGTGACTGTTGCTAATAAAACACCGAATTGTTATTTGTGAGAACTGCACGATGTTAAGGCACAGAGTCCAATATCTAGACTATAAGAAGTGTCTGTGACTTAGCTTCTCTTTGTTTTATTATTTGATTTTACGTCAGCCAGAGCAAAACTGCGTTTGTGATTCCATTTTTATGGTTGAAGAAAGTGGGGTTCAGCAACACCAAAAACTATACCGTCAGATAACTATGAAGAGATGCAGTTTAGGCAGTGAACTAGTTGAAGGCAAATTATGAATAACTGGAAAAATAAAATGCTTTATGTGTAATCAGTTTTACCCTTTTCTAAAATATCTGGAATGTAAAATGGATTTATGTTGGAATTCAGAGTTCTTAAAAATGGTGCAGTATTGTATCTTGCATTGAATGATTGGGCGGGGGGAATCGACAGGGCAAACAAATTAGGTTTCGTTTTTTTGAAGAATTTCTTTCAGATGTAGTTAACACTTTTATTGTCTGCCTTGTATTGGAATACTTATTTAAAAAGGAAACTTAAGCTCAGGAGAATTGTGTATTGTTACTTCATTTTTTTTTTTTTTTTTTTGCTGATTGTGAAATACAAATTTAGCTTTGGAAAAGTGTAATGTTTAGAGTACAAAAAACTGACATTTTACTTAAATACTAATTTTTAGCAGCTTGCAGTGAGTCTTGGTAAAACATTGAGGTGTGTAGCTGAAAATCAGGAGGTAACATTTTAAAATATTTTAAAAATTTAGCTGATAAATAAGAACCTGTTTTTTTCTGATGTTATTTATTTATTTATTTTTCCCTCTCTCCAGAGAAGTTGTGAAGTAACAAAATTGTATCTAAATTACCTGCCACCCTTCAGGAGAAAGAAGGATTTATTATTACTTGCACCAAGTGAGGAGAACACCGGGGATCTTTCCCAAAGCAGTGTCTCCTAAATTAAACTTTTGAAGGCTCTGTTAGGAGTCCAGATTTTTAAGTAGACCTGACTCTGGTGATTGAATGTGTGATGGGGCAAAAAACTTTCTTCTTCTCTCCCAGCTTTTCTGTAACTTTTGGTTGCAAGAGGTTTTGTTCAACCAGGAGCTCTAATGCTATTCAGCAGTTCCAGATTTCCTGTATTCTTCATTCATGAAAATACATTCAGTTCTTCATTGGCTTTCTAAGTGGTAGAAATATTATAAGGGACTTTTATTTAGCTGTATGGTCACCTTTGACAGTGAATTAGTTGATGTCCTGCTGTAATCCAGTTGCTTGAAATATGAGTTTAGCCATATATTTCTTTATTGTCAGAGGAATAATATAAATAATATAAATGCTATAAATGAAATTGTTCAAAGAACACTAAAAAAAATTCTTTGATTTAGTATACTTGTTTCATATTGTCTAATGTAATATTTCTCTCTCCTTTCTAGGAAAAAATTGATATGTCTAGATTCCCTGTTGAAAATATTAGAAATTTCAGTATCATTGCACATGTGGACCATGGCAAAAGTACTTTAGCTGACAGACTTCTGGAGCTAACAGGTATTTTCATTTTATATTATATACTTAATTAATGGCATTGGTGATAATTATTTTTTACCTCTTTTAAAAAATTTTGCTTTTAATTTTATATACAGTATTGTCTTTTTAAAAGCTCAAAGAAATATCTGTAAACATTTCTATTATAGGGACAATTGATAAAACAAAAAATAATAAACAAGTTCTTGATAAATTGCAAGTGGAACGGGAAAGAGGAATCACTGTTAAAGCACAGACAGCATCTCTCTTCTATAATTGGGAAGGAAAGCAGTACCTTTTAAATCTCATCGATACACCGGTAAGTTTAATACTATTTTTGTCTCTTGTTAAAGTCAGCCTGGTATTAATAGTGCAAACAAATCCTTTGTTGAGTTTTTTGAACTGAACATTAAACACCTAAATTTACTTTGTGTCTTCTCAGTCATCTTATGTTAGTGTAAATTGTTTCACAAGCACAGGCTAAAAGGAAAACTTACTAAATTTTTATTAAGTGGAGTCCATAGGTTTGCCATAATGTCCGTCTGTAAAAAACGTTTAAACTCTAACATTTAGCGGTATCAATATTTTTTGTTTCTCAGGGCCATGTTGATTTTAGTTATGAAGTATCCAGGTCACTCTCTGCTTGCCAGGGTGTTTTACTTGTGGTTGATGCAAATGAGGTAGGTACTTTTATATGATGTGTCATGCTATTTAGTTGTTTCAAGGTTTTCCTTAAAATAGAATTTTGGAAATAGAATTTTTATGCTTGAAGAAGATAAGATTTATTTTATAACACAACCAAAATCATGTACTTTAGTACTGTTAATTTGAAGTTTTATTACACTAAAGTGATCTATGAAATTGACTGGTTCATCCTTTAAGGATTTCTAAGTTGATCTGAGGAATTGTTCGATAGGTTTTTGAAGTATGTCGTATTATACATACATCCTACCAAAAAACTCAATTTTAAGCAGATCTTAATCTGAGGTTTCAGTTTTTACCAGAACTTGAAAATAAATCTTTATTTTTGAGGTCATTCTGGGTGTTTTTAAGGTAATAATTTGGGAAGTTAGGTTTAAAGAAACATGTCAATAACACTACTAAGTTCTTTTATAATATCAACATAACCATAGAAACATACTCAGATGAGAATATAAGAGCTATCAGACACTATTTAAAGTGAACTTTTGGTATGTTTCGGTTTCTCACAAACTCTTCATTCAAAACCCAAAGTTTTTTTTTCTGTGTTAAACTTTCCCTGATCCTGTCAGTCTCGCCCTTAATAGGCTTTGAGGACCTTGAGGGTCCATGTTTCTCCACTCTTTTACCAGTGCGTAACACAGTGCCCTCCAAAAAATGTTTCCTGAACTAAAAGGAATTTTCACAGGGAATGATGCAGTTGCATGGTGGTATAGATACCATAGTTTGCCTTATACCTTTGCTCTTGATGAAGATGTGTGGAATGGTCTTGAATTACAACTTTTGTAATAGATGGAAAGGTGATCATCTTGGTATCTTGGTCTTGATTATTTTTAGGGTATTCAAGCCCAAACAGTAGCAAACTTCTTTCTGGCCTTTGAAGCACAGCTGTCGGTAATTCCAGTTATAAACAAGGTAATTACAATGAGACAAGAGTGCTATTTATTATTTTACTTTCTAAAAGTAAATTTAGTGTTTAGTCGAATTTGAATTTTCAACTATTCATTAAAAGGAGTTGACATTTAAACATCATGAAGGGTTAAAGGCACCAACCCCCTGTGCAGTTGAAAACCAACATATAACTTTTGACTCCCCACAAACTTTGCTACCAATGGCGTACTGTTAACTGAAGCCTTACCAATAATATAAAGTCTTTTAACACATACTTCGTATGTGTTACGTGTATTATGTACTGTACTCTTACAATAAAGTAAGCTAGAGAGAAAAAGTAAAGAAAATCATAAAGAGAAAATAAGTTTACAGTATTGTATTTGATACTGTTTACATCATCAATTGATTTATTTCTGAGTACCTACATCAGTATTGTGTGATGCAAAACACTGTAGATATTATAATGTATTATTGACATTAGACATCAAAAATTAAAAGATAATGTGAAAAAGAAATCATGTTTATTTGCAGGTATAGTGATTCATGGATTGATAATGAAAAAGCAGCAATATAATTGCTTTATGCTTGTCTAGTGTAAGTGATGATTGTTTCCCAGTAGCCTAGCCTATTCAGTAATGAATGAATTGTTACCAATTTTTATGGCATATAGTATCACAGTCATATATTACAGTTTTAGAAACATTGTTATGTTTTTTAAAAAACCACTTACCTGTGATGATAGGCTTATACACAGTTTCTCCAATTATGAGAGAGAGGCATACTGTATAGTAATATAATTTTTTGAAAGCAAAGTTATAAAACAGTAAGAAAACTAACATATTATTAATTTTATATTAAATATCACTTATCTTATGACTGTGTAGGAATAGGTTATTCTCCCACAATAAAAATCTTACACATGATGTACAGGTATATTTTTGTATATTTATGGAAAAAATCCATGTACAAGTGGACCTGCACAGTTGAAACCCTGTTATTCAAGAGTTAACTGTAAATTGGTGGGATTTATTTCTTTGAATTGCATGAGATAAAATTGGCATGTCAAACTCCTGTACCTTGGCATGTAGTTGAGAAGATGGTCTCCCTGAGTTACATGGAGTGATGGAGGGTTGTTTCTGTGGGAAAGAGACATGCAGGGCAGCCAAAATATTCTGTTAGACTAAACTATATAAAGGAAAAGAGAAAGAGCTTATGAACTAGGAGGAGACAGTGTAACACAGGAAACGTAAAGGTTAAGTGCTAAACTGAGCACTGTTGATAAAGTTTAATTCTTACATTTTAAAGTTAATAAATTAAGAATTTTAGTTAAAAATCTACATTGCATTCAGTTTTATTTTTTGATACTGGAGTTTAAAAGAAGCAAGGTTGCTTATACGTAAGACAGTTTGTTGTTGGTGATGTCTAACTTACAAAATTCGTTTGCGTGGTGATGTTATTGAAATTTCCTGCCTTGAGTAGCTAACTGCCTAAATTTTTTTCTTATTTTGCTGTCTGCCCTCTATTTTCACTGGACATGCTTGTTAAAATTTTATTGCCTTTTTCTAGATTATTCTTATTTTAATACTTTTGAAAATAAAATTGTAGAGGGGTCAGTTAGATTAAAAGTGGATATACTTCAGACTATCTCCAAATATTAGTATGTAATACAGTTAATTTCAATATATTATGACATAATGAATTTTTTTTTCAAGATAGATCTGAAGAATGCTGATCCTGAAAGGGTTGAAAAACAAATTGAAAAGGTGTTTGATATTTCAAGTGATGAATGTATTAAGGTAAAATACCTTTTTTTTTTTTTTTTTGAAGACTTGGTTATACTTTCAAAAATGTCAGATAATTGGTCTAGGTAAAATTTCATAGTTTTTGATAGCCCATCATTATAGTTTTCCAGAGTTCTTCTGCTGTTTCATTTGATCTTTGCCAAAAATTGTTATTACATGGTTAGGAATTACTTTTATGATACAGTTGAAAGAACTAAGGCTGAAAGATTTTATCATTTTCTTAAGATTGTAGATGTAGTTAACTAATGTGCCAGGACTAAAATGTGGGTCTCCTTCAACTCTTTGCCATATTATTTCTTGTATGCCATTTTACCTCTATGGAAATATTCTCTTTGAAGAGCAGGGTCAGACTAATTTCAAGGCATTTATACATACCATTCTTGGAAATAGATTTTATTTATATCAAAGTTGATACTATTTTATATTTAAATTTTTAAATTTACCTTTCAAACGTTGGTTGTTTTGGGTATTAAATAGCCACGACCCAACTGTGCTTTGTGCTACATGCTCGTGTAGTAAGTTTGTCAGTGTAATACTACAGTGTTTAGTTTCCACCTTCAATTTTTGATTTTTGAAAAAGGTTGTTTTGGCTGATGAAGTATTTTTTGGTTGGTTAATCTTAAACACTTAGATGATTATATACAACTTTGTAATAACTGGAAAAGCAGTAACTTTTCTTTCTTGGATATATATATATATAGAATTTAAGAGTTTTTTATTATGAGGAGGGACTTCATTATAAGGTAGTCCTGGAATTATGGTATCATGACTTGGATTACGTTATTTTAAACTACAATTAATTATTCAGATATTAATGAATCTTTACCAAATTCATTCATCTACTGAGTGGTGTGTGCTAGCTAGGGGCACAGCAGTGAACAGTACAGGCAAGACCACTGTCCTGTGTTTATATTCTACTGGGGAGGCATTCATTAAAGAAATAAATAAAGAAGTAAATATAGTAATTATTGAATGAGACAGGTGTTGCCAAGGAAATTCATTCAACAGTGTATTGTTCCAGGTGGAATTACTGTACTTAATAGTGGAAAAATCTTTTTTCTCAAAAAGGTGCTATGATGCAGAGAAATTTAGGGAATTCCTCTCTGACGAACTGAGACTTAAAGGAATGAAGAGTTAGGAGAAATGCATTCCTGGAAGTGGAAACATGGCATGTTTGGTATGTTTAAGGAAGAGAAAGGAATCAACTTAGATGAGATGGTTTTGTAGGGATAGGCAGGAGTCAAGTCATGCTAGACATGTGCTAAAGAGTTTGAAAATTATTTTAAGATAATGAAAGGATTTTAAAGCAAGAGAGGAAAATAAACTGATCATTCAGTTTGTCTTATAGAGAATGGATTAGAAAAGGGTAAGAGATGGGGAGAAACCAGCTTGCAGTGATCGCCCAGAAACCAGCTTGCAGTGATCGCCCAGATAGGTGCAAAATGGTGGTGGCTAAGTATGTGATGCTGATGTTGGAGAAGTTGGCAAATTTCATGTATGTTTTGTGGATACAATAGATTTTGCTGATATGTTACATGTAAGGAAACAACATAAAAGAATCATGGAGGCTTTAGGTTTGAGCACCAGCTTTGGGTTTGGGCACCTAGTTGAATACTGGTATTTATTAATATGGCAAGGACTTGGGGAGGAACAGATAAAGTGGAAAAATGAAAAGCTCTGTTTTGGACATAGTGGGTTTTAAATGTCTGTTAAACATCCAAGTAGAGATATTGCATAAATCTACAATTCTGACATTTGGGGAGAGGGCTGGGTCAGAGATTTTTAGGAATCATTAGTATGTATGTGGTATTGAAGCCATGGGAATGGTTGCCACTTCCTGAGGAGAAAGTGTAGCTAGAGAAGAGGTGCTGAAAGTCAGACTATATTATTGTCAATTTGCAGGGTATTACGAGTAAGAACTTGAGAAAGATTAGAGAGTGGGATTCAGAACAGAAGTATGCAAGGATTTCAGAGAAGTGGAAATACAGATTGTAACAGGAGAGAAGGTAGAGAGATTGTGGATATGGGTGTAGATGGATTTGTATATTTGGGTAAAAGAGTTTTTGATATTTTCTGTTTCCTTAAATGAAATAAGAGGCAAAGTCATCAACTGAAAGTGAATCGACGGGAGTGGAAAATGTGTGGATTGAAAAGGAAGGCGGTGTGAGTTATCTTAACAAGTGGTGATGTGAATTTAGTAAGGGGTGTGTCCTGGGACTGCCAGGAAATGTTAACTGCACATTGAAATTCATGAATTCACAAACCAACCAGATCAGTTACTTTTCTCTAGTAATGTTAAGTTGCTCTGATTATAAGCATAGAAAAGACACACAGTTGGATAGAGTCAGTGTAGGTTTTACCAACTACTTAGGATGGAGAATAGAAAGTGGTTGAACAGAGTGATTATTAGTGAACTGTGGAGTCTCAGCCGGGAAAGGAAGCAGGGGGGCCAATGGATAATGAAAAAAAAAAAAAGTAGTCCATTCAGTGGATTAGAGGTTGTGATCTGAAAGGATTGTTACAAAGAATGGACTAGAGTCTAAAGCAGTGATTGTCATGAGGAGGCAGTTGTGTCCCTCCAGGAAATACTTGGCAATGTCTGGAGACCTTTTTTGTTGTTACACTGGGGGACGGGTGCTACTGCCATCTTGTGGGTAAAGATTCCATGGATGCTGTTAAGCTTCTTGTAATGCACAGAAGAGCTTCCAAAACAGAATTATCTAGCCCGAAGTATCCTTAGTGCTGAGGTGTGAGGCTGATCTAGAAGGAGTTTAGAGGGTAAGAGAAACTCGATTTAGCAAATTGAGTTTGAAATCAGGATTTCAGATAGTCCAATTACTGGTAATGACAAAGGTCAGACACACATGTGTGTGTGTCTTTTGGCCTGCTTTTTCTGTATGAGAGCAGTAGTCATAATATGCCCTATTTGCCATGCATGTATATTTTTATCCATGCAACAACCTTGAGATTCAGGTAAAATGTGAAAAATCATTTTATTTATCAGATGAACTTGAAACTTTATGTTATGTATTGGTCAAAGTCATATGTTACATGTAGAGTTATGATTATAACCCAGATTTTTGTGAACTCTTGGTCCTTTGCTCTTTCAATATCATAATCAGAATGCTCTTATGATTTAATCCAAGAACTAGAGAATCATCTAACTAGTGGAAGAGCATTTTGTCAATCTATTACATGCTTTGTGCTTCCTTTTACTGTGTTCTCCAAGCAAATCAATAACTTTTAGAATTCTTTCTTTTTTTCTGATCGTAAAGCTCAGTTACCAGGATAAAAAAGTAGTCTTAACTTTAAATGTTTATTGTTTTCATGTACATATTTTTAGATTTCTGCTAAACTTGGAACAAATGTTGAAAGTGTTCTTCAGGCAGTCATCAAACGAATACCCTCGTAAGAATTTTGCTCTTTTTATACTATTCATTTATCTTTAATAGTACAAAGTCCATTAATTTTATCTGTTATTTTAGCTTAGTAGCTATGGCAGATATACTCTTTGTGGTCAGTGAGAATTTTTAATTTTTTTTATTTTTAGTAATACATAGAAGGCAAATACAGTACAGAAAAATCAAAAAACAAGGAGGATAGGGATTTCTTAACAGTTGTATTAATAGACTTGAAGACTTTGGTAATTACTGTTTTTTGCTTTAATATTGAACATAAATATTTCATCAATTTCATAAGTAATTTTAAAACACTCATTTAAAATGTATTTAAAACGTGAGTTTGAATTAAAGCTACTATAAATATAGGCATTGTATCTTATTTTATAGAAGGGTCTTTATTTTGATCGTCAGTTATTAACTTTTCTCAAATACTAAAATAAATTAAGCATAAAATTTGACTTCAAAATAGGCATTTTATTAAGATTTTAATTTATTATGTGTATTTTTTTTTACTTACTTTTTGATAGTCCTAAAGCATATCGAAAAAATCCCCTGAGAGCTTTGGTATTTGACTCCACCTTTGATCAGTATAGAGGTGTGATAGCTAATGTGGCATTATTTGATGGAGCGGTTTCCAAAGGAGATAAAATTGTATCTGCACATACTCAAAAGACATACGAAGTTAATGAAGTAGGAGTTCTGAATCCTAATGAGCAGCCAACTCATAAACTGTAAGTAATCTGCATTAGTAATTAAAAGACACCTGCACATGTTTCTGTTTCTGCTTTTCTCAACTTGGTATGCTTAGCATGCTCCCAGTTTGATAACTTAGAAAAAAAAGCAAAGCCTGATTATTTAATGCATTACATGGTGAACGCTATTTCAAAAGGAATCTCATGTGTGAGGGGGAGTAGGAATTTGATATATATATATTTTTTATTTCTTTGACTAGCTATAACTGATTTTTTTGATCTGGTGCAGATTGGGTCCTACATGATGGATTTGATGAGACAGTGAAAGAGGTAGTTCTCTCATCTATATCCATATCCACACTGGGTATCACTTTTTGGCATTTAATTTTTTTTATAATTAGATTTTTCAGCATAAACGTAGTGAAGAAAACTTGATAACGATTTAGTGTGGAATTCATGGTAAAACTTTGATTAGAGTTCATGGCATGTGGAGTTAAGTAAGGTTAGTGTACATTACAAAAGTTGAGTTCTGAGCTCATTTATAAAACAAATATTTATTGAGTGTTTATTCCATCGGTACTCCAGGTACTGATGAGATAGGTTTCTCTGGGCACATAGTCCTCTGAGGTCTTTGTTTCCTATTTGTAAAATTTTAGATATTAAACCAGGTGACTATATAAGGTCACAGTTGATGGTTTAATGTTGTATGTCTAAAACTAGCACTATTTTGTCATTTTATATTTAGTTGAAAATCATAAAGTATCTTTTAATTTTACTCAGATATTTCTAAATCCTGTCCATATTCTTATTTATTTACTTACTGAAGTATAGTTGATTTCTAGTATTATGTTAGTTTTAGGTTTACAGCATTGTAATTCAGTATTTTTACAGACTATATGCCATTAAAAGTTACTACAGGACAATAGCTATAATTCTCTGCTTTAGAAAGTCTGTCTATATTCTGTGACATATATATTGACCATTAGTGCATCTTCAAGGAAATTTGCTTTGGGAAAAAAAAACAAAAACAAAAAAACTAAGATAAAACTCTGAAACCTTGGGATTTACACTCTCTGCAAGAGGCAAATCAGAGAAGAATCAGATCCGTTGAGAGTTGACATTTTTCTGCTTGATTAAAAGAAAATAGATACATATTTTTTTCTTTTAAAGAACATTTGTAATACAATTCACTGATAAAATAGACATTTCAAAAAGTGGTTTTTGTTTCTGCGCTTCTCAGTTTCACTGTGTTTACATTGTATTTTAGAAGCTGTTGTTTAATATGCAAAGGGGGCAGAGTCATGAAGAAGGCCCTAGGCTTGTGTTGCAGAGGTCCTTGGTAATGGATTGTAAGGCATGGTATGTTCTTTTGCTGACAATCCTTACAGTTGAGAGTTGATATGTAACACTTATTTCCAGTTTGATGAGGTTTTGTTTGGAAAGGGTGATCATTTCTTGGAAAGGCAGAGCTGATTGTGAGGATGCACTTGAAACATTGAAACAGTAAATATTTCTACATAATAATTTTATTTAGATATGCAGGCCAGGTGGGCTATCTGATTGCTGGGATGAAAGATGTCTCTGAAGCACAAATAGGAGATACATTATATTTACATAAACAACCAGTGGAACCCATGCCTGGGTTTAAATCAGCGAAGCCAATGGTATTTGCAGGTGAGGAGCTCACTTATTCAAAGGATAAGGGCCAATTTACTCTGTAAATTGAAATAAAAATTATTAGAAATACTCCTTTTGAAAAACAGCTAATTCCAGGATAATCTGCTTCTCTTAATTGGCTTTTTTTGTGGGTGTGCTATTTACATATCAGTTAATTTCATATGTGTAGTGAAACTTTATGTGGGAGATCATTTCCTAAATTTTTTTAGGACTTCTTAAGAAATAAGCTCTTGAGAAAAAAGCTCTCATATATGGAAGAGCATAGTAATATGAATTTCCTTCTTGTTTCACTAAAGAGTGGGTTATTATATTTGAAACACTTTTCTAATTAGGATGTTTTTATTACTAATCATCAGTGACATTTCCTGAGTGCCTTCCCCTTAGCTGGCCTTTCTTTACTGCTGTATTGTGCTAGTGCAGGCAAGGCAGGGAATAGTGTCACCTCACAGATGTATAACTTCAGAACCTTTTACTTCTGTGTGGTATTACAGACATTTGAAAAAGGAGGACCTGATTGAAGGTCATGAAGTTACTCTGTGCTGGGTATCCAAATCCTTATTTTCTCCCTTTAGTGTCTCTCACTGGGAATTATGAATTTTGTTTACTATGCTGCCCTCCCTCGTTCCCTCCTCTCCTATTTAGGCAAAGTCAGTCATTTGGATTTTGGAGGAGTTAAGAGGTGAGGACTTGGATATGCGATGATAGAGAATCTGATGAGTCATTAGTTTTTGTTTTCGTTTCTACTTCTATTTTTTTTATCTGCTGATGGAGTGGTTGTGGGATGTCTTGCACTTTTGTTTCTTGAAATAAACACAATATATTTTTCTGGTAGGCCTAAATCCTGTAGTTCTTTTTTGTTTTTCCTATATTTTTTGCAAAAGGAAAAGCACTGCTTTGAGTGTGAATCTGGTGGTAAATTCATAAAGCTATGAAACTTGCAAGATACTTTGAAGCCAATGTAACTTAATATTCATGGTTTTCTTCGTAAACCAATATCTTGATCAGTGAAAGATGGGAAAGTAATTTAAAAGTTAAATGATTATTTTTGAACTTGGCAGCAGTTTGCATTAAATTTTCTGTGCCGCTTTTTACATGTAATAATTAGAAACATTGTGTCCCTAGGGATGTACCCTGTAGACCAGTCTGAATATAATAACCTGAAGAGTGCTGTAGAAAAGCTGACTCTGAATGATTCCAGTGTGACAGTTCATCGGGATAATAGCCTTGCCCTAGGTGCTGGCTGGAGGTAAGGTTCAGTTACGTTGTAGAGTTCCATCTTTATTGAAAAGTAAAGTTTAAATGGTTTATTACTCTTGAACATTTCTGAAGATAAGTTCATATTAGTGTACAGTGAACTGAAACAGTGTCTACCTGTTTCTTGCTGTGGATTCTCTCTATATTCTCTGGGTAAGTTTTATAGCATTTTAAACAGAACCCCAGTGGAAGATCTGAACGTTACTTAGTGAAATTATGCTGGCATTTAATTATGATGTCAACTGATGGAATGACTCTTGATTCCACCCCTCTCCCACAAAATAACAATGTATTCATCAAAGAAAATAGAGCCCATGGGACATAAACATTTTGGAGTTTGGCTTTTTCTCCCCACAGATTAGGATTTCTTGGACTTTTGCATATGGAAGTTTTCAACCAGCGACTAGAGCAAGAACATAATGCTTCTGTTATTTTGACAACTCCTACTGTTCCATATAAAGCTGTTCTTTCATCAACAAAATTGATAAAGGTACTCTTCTGAGCCAGCATACAAAGGAAAATTAAATAGTGTGTGTGTCTTTATGTGTATGCAGAATGCAAAAGTAACTTTTTAGAACCGCAGTAGCTGACTGTTAAAACAACTGTACACTGTACTTCAGTTTTTTAAAAAAACTAAACATTTGTTGATTAGTAGTAATAAAAATTGAATCACCTAATGACTAATGATGGAAAAGTTACTTGAGAACTAATTTGTGCAGTATTTATATGAACCTGGTAAAATCTCCACATTATCAATACTAGTCTGTTACTAAGGGTGAAAAGTAGAATTAGTAATGAAAATACTGTTCTAAATTCAGCGGAAAGATGAATATAATTTTGGTCATAAGTAATTTATCTTATGAAAAATGATGCATTCATTCCTACATGACTAGGAAATTTTAGATTTCAAGTTAATGATAGAGACAATATTGTATTCCATCTAAGTGGCAATCTGTTCATTTTAAACAAATACTAACTTTGGCAACTAAGTATTTTCCAACAAAATTAACTTACAGTGCCTTATAAAGGGCAGATTAAAATGTATTCTTACATCATTTTTTTCCTAAATGGTACATGAAATGTGTTTGGTAAATGTCAGTAATGTGGATACATTAAGAATTGTTATTAAATGATCACAAATCAATGATTTTTCTTATTTTTAGGAATATAGAGAAAAGGAAATTACAATCATCAATCCTGCACAATTCCCTGATAAATCAAAAGTGGTAGAATATTTGGAGCCAGTTGTTTTGGGCACAATTATCACACCAGATGAATATACTGGAAAAATAATGATGCTTTGCCAGGTAATAAATGTAATAAAGTTTAATACAAAAGTAAATTTTAGTCTTTTCTAAAGAGGGGACTCTGTTCAGGTTTTGAAAGGTTTCTCTCTGTAGAGCACATTGAATTTAATAAAAGAATATTCATAAAGATCTACCTCTTCATATATTTTATGTATCTATACATGTAGATATAGATACATATACTTAAATTATTTTGATTTTTAAAGAAGAAAATAGAACCAAATTTTCGATCACTGTACTACTAGTTTACTGAATTGATATTTTAGCCTTAAAGGGAAGAAATTTGATGCCTTTTTATCCTGAGTAGCTAAAAACATAATTTCCTTTAGCCTTTTTGAGTATTTGAAATTGAATATCGTTTGAAAGATAATTATAGTATTTCAGAGACGTTTGGAAAGTATTCCCCATTTTCCTTTAGTTCTTGCCACAGTGTAATAAATGACTTAATCTGTAAGTTTGATATAACGTAGTCCTCAAAAATTACCTATTTGAAATATTCTGACATATATTGGAAAGTACTTTCAAATGATGACTAATGGACTTGAATTTTAGTTCTGTTCTCACATACAAAAAAGTTAACTTTGATCACTCAATTTCTCTGAATGCTAAACTTCTTCTATTTGTAAAATAAGAAATTAGAACTTCGATTTTATGTGTAGCTGTTTTGATTTATTATTAAATGAAACTGTATAATTAAGAAAGATAAAATTGTTAGATAAAGACAAAGGATTAAAAGTTCTGTTAGCAAGTATATTGTAATTCAAATACAAAATGGTTTTCCCTGTATTATAAATATTGATCAGATATTTTTACTAGACCATTAAAGACATATTCCTTCACTTTGCCCATTCTTTATTAGAATTTGTAAGGAAATCTTAAGTTGATAATTGACATCTGTCTGTGTTCATCAAATAAATCATTATTGGCATAAGTTATCATTAAATACATTTTTTCTTCCCTTTTTAGGCTCGAAGAGCAGTTCAGAAGAATATGATGTTTATTGATCAAAATAGAGTTATGCTTAAGTATCTCTTCCCTTTGAATGAAATTGTGGTGGATTTTTATGATTCTTTGAAATCCTTGTCTTCTGGATATGCTAGGTAAAAATTTAATGGGAAACTCAGATACCTGGGTAGTCTTTTGAAATATTGACCAGCAAGAGTATGCTAATAATTCCACTTACTTGATAATGTAAACTTTCTTGAAGATGGTTGAGAATCATACTCAAAGCTTGGAGCAACTTTATAGGTGTTACAGAGTACTTGTAATTTGCTTAATGGAAGAAAGAATTCCTTTGAGTCATCAAACTATTACCCTTTTCTTAATGAAAAAAATTTTAGTGCCCTCTTCATGAAATATGTATGTTGATTAAAAAGTATACATAATTTCAAAAGGCTACTGTGACCTCAGGGGCACTTTTAAAATGTATTTGTATGTTATAATCCTAGGAGCCATTTGTGTATATTCAGACATTTAGAAAATAGAAGTATATATTTTGTTTGTAAAAAATGCTAGGTGTGCCCCTGTATTTGTGAACACTGCAATAACTTGACCTTCCCAGGAATAAGTGGTCTACATTAAGAAAACGATTGTCTTACCCCATAGGAGTACATGGAGGAGGAGCCTGATAAAAGTGAAGGAAGAGTTAATATTAAATAACAAAGAACTCAGTGCGTAGCATTTTGGGAGTATTTTTTGTTGGGGCAGATAACTCTAGTTGCCATAAGTATCCTAAAATCTTACATTACTGGATAGCATATACTAGTGTCTAAAGGAAATATAATGGGGAAGTAGAGGGAAAAGTTAATGTTCACATCTGTAAAACACGCATACATGGGCAGGCATATTTGAAATTAGCATTGAAAGGATAATTCCAGTGCTAGACGGCCATACTGCAGTGACCTGAAAGTTTACTTTATGAAATGAGCTTCTAGGTGAAGAGAGTCAGCATAACTCAGGATAGAAAGGAATCTTCTTTATGTTCTTTTGTGCTGAGAATTTTTTTTTTTCTACTTTGTCACCCAGTTATTTTTCTTATTTCCTTCAGACGAGATCTTGAGGAAATAAGTAGCAATATAATTTAAAATAAAATGAATTGAGGCAGCATGTTGTTAAACAGTTACTATTATGATTACTAAGTGTTGATAACATTTTTAACAAAAGTTTGTGCATTCTAGTTTGCATTTGAATACCACTTTCTGGGTGAAGTGTTCTTAAAATCTTTTAGCTTAGAAACTTAAATGTATTTTGCATTAAGTGAGAGAACATGGTTTATTATGAACTGTGTAAAAGTAAAATAATTCCAGCTTCCAAAGTTAAGGTAATTCTTATGTTTTAAGGATGCACATGGATATTTTTTCATATTTTTAAAAATTGAAATTCTAAAATTTTTTGAGCACAGAACAAGGTGAACATCTGACTGTAAACAAAGTGAACGTCTAAGGACTATGTCTGTTTTCTATCTCTCTGTATTCTGTATAGTCCTTAACATGGTACTTTTCATGTAGTACATGCTTAATGGTATTTGTTGGAAAAAAGAAAGGATTTTTGGCGATGCTTCAGGCAGTAATCTGGTTTTAGAGAGTATTGGGGTCACCTTGTGACCTTCCTGCTGAAAACCTTTAGAAGCCAAACATTTGCAACTCTAGTCACCAGTTTGTTTTAAAATTAAGGCAGTAAGAATACACATGTTCTTGTTCACAGTTGCAAAGACATGTAAGCATAATTTAAATTTTTCTTATCAGACTTCAGTTTTGAGTTAAACTTGTTTGTTTTAATTAGCATGGTAAGCTTTGACCATATTGTTAATAATAATAGCTGAAACTTACTAAGTACTTAAATGTGCTAAGCTCTGTTCTTAGCACTTTTTATGTACTAGACACTGTTCAAGTTTTTACATGTATGAACTCATTTCATTCTGAAAAAGCCCTGTGAAGATTCATACTGAAGAGCCATATATGAAATTCAGAATTCTCATTTATGAACGACTCTTTATCAGTGCCATAGTATTTATCTACCTGGTAATAGAAAACTAAACAGAAACCCAACTCTTGAGTCTGAGAATGATCCACTAATATATTGTTTTCTACAGCCAGCCAGCTGCTAGGAGGGAACATTGAGAAGGTGACATTTGCTTTCAATGATCCATTTTCCTAGCCTGGCTTAATTTCTTTCCTTCCCATAGTGCAGCATGTTCTCCTTGATTTTGTATCTCATTTCATAAATGTAAAAAAGTGAGTAAGTTTATTCTTTGCTGTGGTCATTTAGATCCAGTCATCTGAAATGTACATGTAGTACTTTGTTGGAAAGTTAGATCTTTGATGGGGGTGGTGGAAGGGTATGAGAGGAGACAGAAAAAAGATACTTTGAAAAGAAAAAAATATAATTTCTTGGGAAATATAATGTTTCTCACTTGGACACTTTTCCCTGTTAGTTTTGATTACGAAGATGCAGGCTACCAGACGGCAGAACTTGTAAAAATGGATATTTTGTTGAATGGAAATATTGTAGAAGAGCTAGTAACTGTTGTACACAAGTAAGTCAAATAGAAACTAATCTTGGGATGTGAAAGTAACCACTCTTGACATGTTTTCATTTAACTGTCAGTTGCTCATTTTTACTTGACAGCTACATTTTGAAAAATTAAATTAAATTACCATGTACTAGTTTTTCCTTCCATTCTTTTCCCAAGCTTCTCTTTCCAAACTTAAAATATAAAAGAATAGAATTAATTATAGTAGCCAAAAAGAATAATGTCATGGAAGGAAATGTTTCCCTTATCGGGTAAGACAAAGTAAATGTGTTTTAACATTTTATTTATGTATTTCTTTAATTGTATTTTAACATTTATATTTTATAATAATGAAAAATGAAATCCCCTACATGTTCAGGAAATAGTGGATTGGTTAATATAAATTATGGAGCACCCATATAATAATTTATCTTAAGCCACTAAAACTATATTGTCCAGTAATATTTAGTGACATAAAAAATGTATTAAATAAAAAGGTAGAATATATCATAGCAGTATGTCACAAGCTGTAAAAGGTAATTAAATATGTATGCAGAAAAATAACTAGAAGAATGGAAATGTGTTTAACAAACATTCTAAGATGTTTAACAGCACTATTCTGAGGGTGGGAGAAGGACCTCAAGAATGGTTTTTATTCTCAGTGTTTCTCTAGATTTTCTGTTATAGATCATGTTTTTGCAGTATGATTCAGAGAGTAAGTGAAGTTTATGATAAATATGTTCATTTGTACCTCCTTAAGAAATCACCTTAAATTGATTATGTATATCAATTTGAAAGCTATTTTAATTATTCTTATTTGGGATATGTGAAAAGTTGAATTTTGTCCTCTCTTAGAGACAAAGCGCACACTGTTGGCAAAGCCATATGTGAACGTCTGAAGGATTCTCTTCCTCGGCAGCTGTTTGAGATAGCAATTCAAGCTGCCATTGGAAGTAAAATCATTGCAAGAGAAACGTGAGTTGAAATTCATTTTTGTTCCCTGGTTGGTTTTAGCAGTGATATACCTAGAAAAATGAAAGAATATTGAAAAATTTAATTTGACATTGGCCTAAACTTTATTTCTACTTATAAAAACACTAATCTGACTCTTAATTCCACTAACCTAAGTAATGACTGTTACTTTGAATTACTTATATGACACTTCTGGGTGATAATTATTTACATTAATATAACTTATATGGGTTTGAGGAATTTTATTTGCATTCATTTTATTGAATGACCCCACTGAATTTCCTGGGTAATGGATTTCTGTAGTTTTTGATTTTTTTTTAATCCCTTTAATTAATAGGAACCAGAATTCAAAAGGTTTTGGAGATATTTTTCCAAAAGATAAAACTACATTATGATTTTTACTTGCATTTAATATCACTTCCTTAGAGCTAGTTAGGTTGTAAATTGGAAAGGTGAGAGAAGAATGCTGATACCATGTTAGGCTTTGGGAGTTTGCATTCTAGATTAGGGACTTACCATGTGATACAGCAGACATGGTGATAGGCTACTCAGTGTAGGAAACACTATAGTCTTTCATGAAACGTGATGTATAAATCAGAACATGGAATAAGCTGCACTCCTAGTAACAGTAAGTGCAGAAGTATCTTGTAGCATTTCTCATTTCGTTTCCTTGATGATCTTAAGACTCTGGAAAGTCAGAATTATCTTAGTTGGAAATTGCTGTTCAAGTCTAGCTTAACCCAAACCTAATATATCAGTAGTGGTGAAATACAACCATCATTTTTATATATAGTCTTGGGATAAATGTTATGCCTCTATTTGCAAAGAATTTCATTTCCTAACAGCATTTTGCTTTAGTTATTTTGTGTTTCATGAATACTCAGATATTAGAATGGTGTTGGTAACCAGGGAACATCCAGGAAAGTGCAATTTAAAATAATTATTACCAAGTATCATTCTAACTTAAATGTGTTGAGGTAGAGAATACCTTAAAGAAAAAGAATGTTGTATCTTCTTATGGAATACATAAAAATGCACCTATTTTCAAATTTTTGATCCTCTAAATTTTTCAGATAAATTATAAAAATAGATTAATTATAGCTGCTTTGATGGATATAGTTTACTGTGAAATGGGTTTTATAAAAGTAATATGTTTTTCTTTATATTCCTTAGTCACTCTTGACTCAGAATCAGTGGAGTTAGTAATGAGATAATAATGATTTTAAATTAATTTTTTTAGAAATAGTAGTGGTAGTAGTATTTTTAGGTTGAACTGGAAATGACCTTGTATAATTCTTGTAATTAAGATCACACCATGCTCGAATTTGGCCTCATCAAGACTACCCACAAGCCTTGACCTTTTTTTATTCTTAATAAAGTATATATTGATAGTCATGTTGAATTCATTTTTTGTTTTGTACTAATTACATGAAAATAAATACAATAGCATTTGAGCTATCTAATTATTTGCTTATGGCAATTTTACATGGGTATGACTTGATCTTAATATCCTTAGTAAAGAGAAGGTTGTTTTTTGAAATAAGTACTTTTAACTGGTATAATTAAGTTACGTACTGATACAGATTTCCTCTTTTACAGTGTGAAAGCCTATAGGAAAAATGTTCTGGCAAAATGCGTACGTATATGCACGTGTTTCACTTTGTAACAGTGTATCTATTTTGTACGTTTAAAATCAAGTGGGGAATAATAAATACATTGGTTTCCATTGTTGGTTTTTATAATACCCTTTATTTCATGCCCACATTTTCTTTTTTTGTTTGTTTCTTTTAGTTTTTTGGGGGGGAGGGAAGGCAATTAGGTTTACTTATTTATTACTATTTTATTTAATGGTGGAACTGAGGATTGAACCCAGGACCTCATGCATGCTAATAAGCACTCTATTCTACCACTGAGCTCTACCCTCCCCCACGTTTTCTTTTTAAATAGGTAAATTTCAGCTTGACCATACTGATAGCATATTCATTTTGATCACATTCTTAAATATTTCCCATCTTACTTATAAAAATTTCCTTATATGCAATACTACCCAAGAACCTTTTGTTAACAATTATGATCAGGATAAAAGTTCTATTGATTTAATACATAAGGAAAGATTTTAAAGACAATGACTGTTTTACAAAGGGAATTGAAATTGAAATCCATCTCTCTCACACTGCCAAGTTTACTATTTCATCTCTTTTATAAAAATGATTCTTAAGTCAGTTATTATGAGAATTAAATCATAAATGCTTTTTCTAGGGATTGGCACATTGAAGCCTAGGTGAGTTCCTGTATCAGACTACACTAGGTAGTCCAGAATTTCAAGCCCTTGAATCAGTAAGGAGATTGATAACTCTTCCTGTACATGCATACTGGGTTTCCTTGAGGATCTTTGTCTCTATCTTAAAAAAATAAAGCCTTTATCATTCTTTGAGAAGATAGTAAAATTAGGCTCTGCTAGGAAGGGGATTGGAGGTAATTCTGCAGATGTCTACTTTATGGGTAATAATTGTAAGGTGCTTATAATTGTATTGCTGTGTCTAGGTAATGGTGGGATTATTTTCTGTGGAGTGATTTGGATTTCCAATTTTTTAAATTTTGTTTCAGTATGGTGGTGATATTACCCGAAAAATGAAACTTTTGAAGAGACAAGCAGAAGGAAAGAAAAAACTGAGGAAGGTTGGCAATGTTGAAGTTCCAAAAGATGCTTTTATAAAAGTTCTGAGAACACAATCTGATAAATAATTGATGGGAAAATACAAGGAATTTTCATAAATTAAAAATTGTGTATCCTTTAATTTTTCTTAGTAATTTATATATTGAACACAATGGAATTAAAATTAGAAAATTTGCTTGATACTTTCAAGGTTTTCAAGTTTTAAATAACCTCTTGGTTTTTCTTAGAAGGAGAGTAGTGGGTAGATAAGAGCTTGGGTTCTGAAGCCATATTTTCCTGGTTTCAGCTTCCTATTCTACGACTCAACTAGGTAAGTAACCTTGGCCAAATTACCCTCTTTTTATACATTTAGTCTTCATTAAAATCACGATTATTCTATTACTTACCTCTGTAGGCTGTTGTGAAGGTTAAATGAAATATGCTTAAAATATTCAGGAGACTACATGACAGCATATGCTCAGTGAAATTTGTCTTCAGACATATTCCTTACACTGAAAGGGCCCCATACTTAAGATTCTTTCTGTCTAGTTCATGCCTGAGATAAAATATTTTCAGTCAGTGTCAACTTGTTAGCTGGATATATTTAGGTGATACATAGGAATCTTTTTAAACAAAGTCAAATAACATAGTGTCTAGACATGTGCTCTAGTTTTCCATAAAATGTTTGTAAATGTTTGACACTATAGTTTTCATATACATACAAGTTAAAGTAAGGGTGGGGCTGTCTTACTTCTGATAACTAAAATGCATTTGTGCAAAGTGATAATGTTTGGTATTAGCAGCAGCTGTTATTAATGACAGTTTAATAATTAATGTCTAGATTTTGTAGTTGAGGCGACTGAGCTTGAGAGTAGTTCAGTAACTTACTTAAGGTTACACAGCCAGTAAGTGATTGTCTTACTCCAAAGCATGTGCTTTCTTTACTCAGTCACTGAACAAACCAGAGGACAGACTGTATTATAGTAAGATAAAATAACTTAGCTGTGAGATAAGATTTTTTTCCTCTACCATTATTGCCAGGGGGAAGTTACAAGTTGGTACCTGGCACATAGTATGCACTACTGCTCTGTAACATCTGGGCTTCATTAGCACGCTTGTGATTTGGACATTTTCCCTTTAGTCTCTGACTTTTTGGGAAACAGTTTTACTTGAAATAGTAAAAAGTATGTTTTTCAAATTTTTTGCATACCCTTATGTTCTCTCCCCTGGCCACTCTCCCAAACATGGTTTAGAGTTGTGTGCCTTCTAAGTGTTATCCCCTAGAGGATCTTACATTACTGATTTTTTGCATGCAATGATGTAAACTGAATATTGTAACAGCCACCATTTATTGAGTTTAATATGGGACAGCCACTGTGCTGAGCTCTCTTCCCTCATTCAGTCTGCGTAATAGTGGAGGTACAGGTACTGGTACCGTTCTATTTTATGAGGGAAGAAGCTCAAACTCAAGTATTGCCCAATGTCACAGCTGTAGACAGCTATTTTTTTTTATCCCCCAAACCCCAATCCTTAGCTACCATGCTTTATTGCCTCTTGTGGAAATATCGTCAATAGGCTTCTTAGTTTTTTTGCTTAACAGCAGCTTAGCTCCTCAGTTAGTGAGCTAAAGTGTTCAGAAAGCAGTTTGCTGTGGACCTTAACTACATGGACTTGTAACATCAAGGGCAGTGATACATCTTTTAGACTCCTTTTGTTTCAGCTCGCACATGGAAAGCACAGAAATAACAGATGAGCTGCACCTGAACAGGTATCCATACCTTCTAAGGTAGTTTGCAGTAACCAGTACTTATTACCAGGTGTGGGACTGGGAGATGATACTGATTCACTATAGTCATTTAAATACCATTTGTAACACTATGACTACTAGAACTTCATTATCTAGAATTAAAGCAGCATATTTTGTCCTAACAGTTTTATTTATTTTTTAATTTATTTGCTATTTAAATATTTTAAGGAATTTAACTGTAAATACAATCACATAGGCAACTGAGCAGGCATGTAAGTGATGCTTTGTCTACTAGATAGACTTAGAAAAGGCAAAATATGCAGAGGAAAAGGAAGCTTTTTTTTTTTTTTTTAAACTCCCCAAGGAGCACAACTAAGAAATCAGAAACAGAGACATTGTCTTTTAATTTAAATCTCCTAACTAAATGATGACAACAAAAAGTATATTCCGGCACAGAGCTGCTATGAATTGTTACAGTCTCTTAGATGTATGTTTTCAATTTCACCTCTGAAAATAAAATTTAGGTAACTTATATTTGTTTATTATAAGCTTTATTTGAGTTAAAGATAGAAAACAATATACTTTTATTTGCAATTTAATGATGCGAGTTAATGGCAATCTAAAATAGCTTACAGTAATTCCTTTTATATTATACTTCATATTATCCTTTTAGACATATATATAAGGAATAAAGCTAATTGTTTATGAAGTTTAACAGTAATCAGAAAATTTTCTTCAAAAGAATTCCCTATATGTGTGGCTAAGTATAAAGCTCATAATTGCCAAAATACTTACAAGTGCATGAACCCAAGTCATTAAATAAAAATAAGAGCACATTTGTAAAAAAGTGCTATAGAAGAAGGTGCACAAAAAACACGCACTTATATATACTTTCCAAAAGGGTGTAAACTGTACTTTTAGGCACTGTCATTTCCTCAAATTTTCTGTACCAATATTATATAGCTGGACTTCTGATGTCCAGTTGCTACTGCAGGAAGACAACTAAGGCAACCACGTGCAGAAAGCTTGTGTGTGATGCAGAGAAAATATAAAGATAGCATTCCAGAAGTAAAGACTTGTAATGACAGTTGTTTGATACCTGAAAGGCTTCAAGGGTATTCTTGTGATTAAAAAATTAAAATCTAAGAATGCCTCTGTAGTCATATGAAGGTACTTGATGTACAGAATCTTCACCTTTAAAATCACTTAATATTTGTAAACAGGCAAACATTTCATTTCTGTGCTGTTTTATAGAGTGGCTATGTGGCTTCTGTACTTTATAATAACAAATAGCTGATCAATTGAGAGAGCCAATTACTTTTCCTAAACCCTAGTATAAAATGGACACATTCTAAGTATGGAATGTTTAACATATAGATATTGGACTTCAAAAATGACATATTCAAAAATTCCCCAAGTTTTATATTGCATAGCTGAAAATTCATCTATGTATAAAAGTGTTCTGTTCATTCAAGCAGAATTTTGATCCAATCTCCTTCAATTTCCTTCTTTCATACTGTATAGTGGATCCACAAGTTTATTGTGCACATGCATTAAACCTTAAAGAAAAAAAAGCACAGTTCTAGTTGTATTTCTCATTTTGAACTACATCTCATTTACTTTAGAATACAAAAAATTTAATAAGCAGTATATTGGTTCCCATCTGATAACAAAAGTTAAATTTATTTAAAATATGCAAATAGGAATGTTTCAGAATGTTAAGTTTTAACTACCTAGCAAATACCAACTTACAGCTTATGAAAACATGGATTTAAAATGGGTACAGGTCCTTTGGGATAATTGTAATTAGGAGTTCTTGTCTTCAGAACTTCAGCATGACAAGGTAACAAATTTGAATACTGCCTAATTACATCTAAAAGTCTGCTGAGTCTGACCCTCCAGCAGTTAATCTACCAGATTCCACTGGGAGAGGTTTACTAAAACAATATAGAAGATAACATATTAAATATTAATTTCCAAGTAAATTTAAATTTCATCTTATAATTGGTATACTTATAAACTGTCCTTACTAAAGCTTCTTGGGAAGTATCTTCTCATTACTCATGTCTAAATGCACATGTACTGTATTTCTTCAAGGAAAAAAAAATTGTTCCCATTGGTGAACTAAAGATTTTATATTTTGTAGTTTAAAGAAATCAGTTAAATTTACCAGGTTATTAAGAACATGTTGGCCAGGGAAAAGGGACTCATGATGTGGTTCTTAGGAAATGAGATTTCTGGATCAAGGAGACAAGGTACTATAGTTAGTAAGATGTTCTTTGTCACGAACGCTGCAAAAGCACTGCAAAATCCAAACTGGGGAAGAACCAATTTTAAGAGATAAGCAAAGTGACATGCAAAGAGCACTAAAGTATATATGTAGTAAGAGGAAAACCAGAAGAGTCTTAAAAGGAGGGGAGAAATAATCTCTAGTGTAACTGAAAGAGAGAATGCTAACTACTTACCAGCCTACTTCAGTGTCTAGTCAGCACCTCAAACTTGTTAACAAGGTTAAGACCCATTTTTTCCCTTCTAAACCATTTCTTAAAAATCTTGGTATATGGTGTTACCCTTCAATGAGGTGCTAAAGCCAGACAACTGAAATTCACTGTTGATTTTTTCTTTCCCTTTTTAATTCAGCCTGGCACTACTTTCAAAATATATCCCAAACTAGCCACTGTTCATCTCCACAGTTACTGCCCTGGTCAAAGCCACTGTCTTCACTGTCTCTCTGACTACCAACTCAATACCCTACATTCATCATTTCCCTCTGTCCCATAATAGAATTTCTACACAGCAGGCAATCTAATTTCTTAAAAAAGACTACATCATACTATTTCGTTACTTAAAATTCTCCAATTGCTCTGGTCACTTAGAAAATAACTTGGATTTTATTCTTTTGTCTTTGTTTATCCTTCTGGTCTCACATCCTCTCACTTTCCCCCTTATATGCTATACTAAACACTGGCCTTGCTGCTGTCACCTCAGAAGGTCTAAGCTTGGTTCTATGCCTGGTCTTTATACTTGCTGTCTCATTCAGCCTGGAATGCTCTTCTCCCTGAGCAAAGCATGACTGTCTCCTTTTTGCTTATTATATCTCAGCCTAAATGTCATCCTACAATGAATTACTATTTCACTTTCTTTAGAGCAATTTTTAGTCTTAGAAAATGTTTTTCTACTATGTCTCCAACTAGAAACTGAGGGACCTTCAGTTCACTGCCTGAAGTCCTAGGTCTCTAAAGGTCATGACACATGGAAGTTCAATGAACATGTACCTTAGAAAATCTGTGAAGTTTCAGTGAGATGGCCTCTAGAAGCTTTTTTTTAAATTTAAAATGAACCTAGAATATAGATTGATAAAAAGGAGACAAGAAAAAGGAAGGATGGAGACAGAGATTCTGTAGTTCAAGGTCCTTAAGGCAGAAAGGGATCCAGGGCACTGGCAGAATAACTAGACATGAAAGGATGCTTAAGGATGAGGATGAATTTAGAGTCTTGGAGGTAGGACTGTGGAGAGACTAGTTAAACCTTCCATGCAGCTGGAGGGAAAGAAGGGTCAAAAGGTTAAAGTGAGTAATGGGAAAAGTTTGAAGACAGAACAAGGAGCACAACTAACCAAGGAAATGAATGAATCTTCATATAAAAAAATACCAAACGAAGCATAAAAGTGCTTGATTGGTTCTGCCTCCACCTCAGGTGTATGGCAGCCACTTGGCTATCTGGCCCTATTTGTGAAACGGAGTAATCTCAGTTCAGAGATTCAAAACAGAAAGCAATGTACTAAACATAGTGCATAAAAGTCTTATAATGATGTTTGGTTTGTATGTCCTAATACTTGAATGTTTCTATGACATTTCCATAAAGTTAAATAACCCCCCTTACATGCTTAGAAGTGCTTTGAAGACAAAAAGCCTGTGATAAAAATCCATGAATATGTGGACAAACCAATGAGTATTTTATTCATTAGACTATCTTATGCAAACTATCCTGGAGGCTGGATTTGAAATATACTGACTTATTGGCATTTGTTCTTTGCTCAAAAAATGATAAGAATATTTTTCTCAGACTAATAACCTCCCTCCCCCAGTACCTTTTTGGTGCTATAAAGGCTGCTGTTAACTTTACACCCTCATAGGGACGAGATTAGCTCTTGGATGTTCAAATGCAAGCGTTCTGAGGGAAGCCAGGACAGAAGTAATCCACAAGCATTCTGTCAGTGAGTACTCTGTGTGTTCATCGTGGAGGCTAGTTTTCACCTGCACTAGCCCTTTTACCTATGGTCTACATTCTAATATTGGGATTCCCAAGGTTAAAAAAAAAAAATCTAAGGTACTAAGTTAAAAAAGTCAAACACTCCATACTGAAACATAACAAAGAAGTTAAACTTAGAATGCAGGAAAACAGCAATAAATACTGAAACCATCCCTGACTCTCAGACTGATAACAATTAGAAGCTGTCCATTTGGTAGAAATCAAATGTATCATGGACTCTTAACCCAGATTCCTGGAACACACTAGAGCTAGAAAAGGTTCAAGGAATTCTGGAATCTCCCTAATTAATATACAGCCTTGTGTGTGTGCACATGAACACACACACATGTACATGCATGAGCATTTTTCAGAGGACAGTCTTCACCAGATTCTCAAAGAGGTCTATGACCCCAAAAACGTGAGCCCTGATTTGCCTCTCTGCTCTTAATCTATACATTCCCTTTTGTTTTTAAAGTATAACCTAGACCCATTTTATCAATACGCTTTGTTCTCTATTACAAAGAACTTTTTCTGTTACTGTGTTAGCTCATCCTGTGCTGCTAATTATGCAATTTCCTTATAATCTAAATGCTCTCCACCTTCCATGGCTCTCAATCCCTTCAGCTCAATTAAAGTTTTCTTCAACTACTATTTAACTATAAAAATCTCTCCCTTATTTAAAACAAGATTTAACTGAAAAGTTTAATCCATTTTCAACAACCAGTATGTAAGCAGCAAAGTGCAGATTGGAGAGACCAAAGAGAGGGGACAACAAAGACAATGGTAATTTCAGCCGTGTAGTTTAGAAGACGCATGTATCAGCTCTCAGAGGATCATGCTATTTACACAATTTATCATTTGCTGAAAGTTTGATCTTGGAAAGAATATATTAGAGGTTAAAAACACATACCTTAAAAACATCAGGATAAACATTAAAAATCAAACTCCTTAAATTTTTTTTAAAAAAACCTAATTACTGGCTATAACTTAAACATAAGATAAAGCTAGTTCTAAACTAGAAATAATTTTGGAAATTTTAGTACTTGCTTTTTGGATGATAAATCAAGAATTTATCATGACTTAGAGACTGACAATTTTCTATAAAAGAATGTGATAAAAAATAATTGCTACTTAAATTCTGACATGTTTTGAGAAGAAAAGTTAAATACAGATTTTATGGCTTTGGTTCAATCTGAACTATTGGAGGAGGGTCTTAAAAAATAAAAAACATGTTCACCATAGATAATGATGATGTCTTGAAAATATATTATCTCGAGGACATAAAACATAGGCTTTATTTAAATAAGCAAAAACAAAAAACTAGAACTAATAAAATGAATTATTAAAATGTTTCCTGTGGTTTACTTATATCTTTCAAAAGGTATATACTGAAGTAAACTTCGATTTGCTAATGATCCTTATTTTAGATGTAGTTAACGTCGATTTTCTTCAGGAGCAAAATAATTAGAACCCTCTAAGGTGCCCAATGACACTTTTTAGTAATGACAGAAAAAAGAGTAGTGATGTGAATAGTATTTGAAGAATTACAGATGATACTATGGGATTCATTTCCTCCAGTGCACCTTGCAGTGATACAATAATAACGATATGACAAATGTATCGAACTACATTTATAACATGCATAAATTTACAAATAGTTACCCTATATCAAAATATCTTACTGTAAAATGAGGTCTACACTGTAGCTCAGAATAGTATCTCAATTCCATTTTTCTCCATATTGAAGGAGGCATCCTGACAGAGGCTGATGTCCTGAATCTCTTCAGAAATATATACAGCTCCAAAGTGGAAAACACTTTGTAAGTCACTTAACATCCCTAGTAAGTCTGTTAATTCATCTAAAAATTGGATTCTAAGAGTATCCACATCATAGAATTGTGAGAATTAAGTAAATCAGTAAGTGTAATACATTTAGAATAGTACCTGGTCATGTAAGTATTGGCTCTTATTAAATATCTTACTAAATACTTACTTCACTAAAATGTGAACATTTTCTGATAAAGATAAATTAACAAAATCACACAAGTACAGGGGTCTATATGGGGATTATTCATACTAGAAAATGGCAATGTTGAATGAATCTCTTCAAAAATTGGCATTAAAATATGTGGATAATGAGGATTCCTTCTACTAACTTTTTCAAGGAATCCAGTATTTGTGATGAAACCTGGACTACATGAAAATCTATAAGTAAAATGCCATGTAAGAGCTCTGTCTTACTCACGACTCATCACTGAACTGTTCTCTGCTTTTATCTGTCAGATTACGAAGAAGCTAACATTTTCAGTTTTATTTGATATATTTGTGGCTTGGTAAAAAACTGATAAATATATAAGTGACTAGAGGTAATCTAAGTGTTTAACAATAAGGAAACATTTAAGTAAATCATGATGTGTCTATTACAATATAGCCATTAAAATGCTTTTGAGGAATATTTAGTAAAATAGGAAAATGCTCACACAACAGGTAAGTGTAAATACTAAACTCTATACATATCATAATTTTGTTTAAAAAATTAGACTATTTCCATTGTTTGCCAAACTTCATTTGTGTATTACGTTCAAGATTTTTTTTGTCATATTCATACACTTACGTGAACTGTGAGTTACCAATTTCCAATTTAAAACTGACTTAAAATTTTCAAGTTATATACTATATTTCATGAATATGAGATGTAGAAAACTGTAAGCTACACCATTATTTTATCTACCACTAAGAAACATGCTACCAGATATGCTATGATATACTGCTTTTAAACACATCCCAATTTTAGATGAGATAAATATGAAAAAAGATGTGTCTTAGAGACAATAAAGTATAGTAACTTTTTTGACTTTGTTAAAGCAGTAATATCTATGAAATACAGGTTTGATTGGTTCAGTGTATTTTCTAATACACATTAAATAAACACCTAGTTGCTAGAATAAGATTAAAATACATATATTTTCATTCTTACAATACCAGCAGTATACATACTACATACTTTGTGATTACTGACCTATAGATATGACTTAATTATATAATATTTTCATATCAGCTGTATAAGTACAGGTGCCTTGTAAAGAGTACCTAATTTATACAGCTTGTTTATGTGTGTGTGTTTATATATGGAACAGACTCTTAGCAGAGAATACCGTCTAAATCTGAGTGCAGTCAAGTTTCCTTGAAAATCTCTTAAAGCACCTATCACATCAAGCACATGTGGTTTTATATATATAACCTAGTAAGGAACCAGGTTTAAGAATTACTGGACTAACCTGCAGGAAGAAGCAAAAGGGAAATAAACATGCAGAAGTCAGGGAAATCAGACTTCCTGCTTACCTGCAGAGTTCATTCCATGCTGTCTGAAATTTAGCCAGTATAAATTTAAATATGACAAAAACTTGAAATTGTGAAGATTAAATGAGACAGTGGGCGACCCCTCTTATCCCCTGATTTTGTTCTAAACATAGCTGGGGGGGTAGGGGGTGGGACAGGTAAACAAGGGAAAAACTAGAAAGGACATATATGCATTTCCTTTGGGGTTATTATATATTCAATATGAAAGTAAAATATTATTAAATTTTAGATTTCAAGAAACATTTACTGAAAATATAGATTGAAGAGATTTTCTTCAAGAAAAAATATTAGGAAACTACTCTGAAAGCTAGTATCATCTAAAGTGAGATGTTTCTATTCCTTGAAAGAACTGACTACTGTGTCACCATAGTGCCAGTTTTCAACAGGCCACAGTGCAGTATGTGTGACTCCACAATATTACACTTTACTTGTCATCTACAGTGGAATATTTTCCCAGTCTGCTCTTGAAATTTCAATGCTCACCTTTAAAGTATTTCACAGTTTTAACTCTTAATTCTAAAGTAGCATCTTCGTCACACACAAAAATAGTTCGGGGATGCTGCTGGAAAGCTGAAACAGTCCACATGTGATTGACTCCTTCTTCTATTGCTTTGTAGAGAGCAAATGCCTTGTGTGCACCTGTTATGAGGATCATTACCTGAAAAACCATGAACATTACTTGTTAATTAATTCTTAAAACATGTTCCAAATGACTAAGAAGCTCTGTATTTTTTTTTTTAAACAAAGACTTTAGCACCAGTATTCTTCTGAGGGTTAAAATAAAAATAAACAGCTCCATTTTTCTTCATAGTTTAAAGTATTTATTTCCATTCTTTCAGGTAACAGGCAAGCACAAAGTGTATCTCTTCTTTTGGTTGAACAAAGTAAAACAGTACCTTGTTTGTAATGAAGTATTACTGAATATACCATAATGCCTGTGATAATTAACATTAAATACTGATGTGCAGAAGAGACATGGGAGAATGAAGAAAAAGAAACAAAAGGGCTGTTTTGCAAAAGCAGAGTTACAAGTCAAGAAAAAATAAATATAACCAGGAATCAGATACCAAATTGCTCTAGTCCAAATAAGTAATAGACATTACTTTGGACATGTCAAAGACTCTAAAATAACAGATATTTTAAAAGTAACCTTAAGATGGGAAACTGAAGACTGTTTCATTGAGTGTGTCTTATCTAAAATTGTCCTGGAATAAAACTAGATTTAAAGAAGGATTCAGGATGTACTCAGATGCAGGAGCTGCCCTTTAAGCACACATGACTGAAACTATCCTTATATAAACAGAAAATCCAAGCTCTTGGTCCCAGATCCCTAACAGCCTATGAGATAATTCAAAGAGCATGTACAGATATGAGTGAGTGTATATGTGTCTGAGCCTTAACATTTTTAGCAGTAAACTGAACCTATTTTACAAATTAAACAGTTTATGTAATGCAGTAAATTTTAAACATTTTTCTCATTACAGTTGTCAAAAAAAATGAATGTTAAGGTGGTTCTAATTCTAAAATATCTGTAACAAGGTAAAAATTCTGCATTGCATATTTTATAACCAGACATTCTAAAACAGGGAGGAAATTAAAGATTAATGAACCAGATACTACTATATTTCTTTTATCAAGATTCACTATGTATTTCTCATTTTGAAGCTATTATGTTGATTACTGTCAAAGCCTCATGAATGCATTCATATATGAATTCCTACTGTTTTTATTGATACTTCTTGTTCACAAGTATAGAGATCTAGACTCTGAAGAGTTAATGTCATCACCTATGATTAAAAGCATTCTCTTTTAAGTTAACAATGCTTGATATAATAAGGTAAGCACAACACTGTTTAATGGATTTATTAATCAGTTTTCCTTGTGGGATATTAATAGTTTTTTTTTTTCTTAAGATTGATCTATATGTTACAGAGGAGTTTAAAAAAAAAACAATAGGATATTCAAGTTCTTTACTGTATCCTGTCTTCTAATTTAAAATCTTTGGAATTAGGACCCAGGAATCAGCGTCCCTTAAGTGATTATGATGCAGTCTGGCAGAGGTCCTTATACTAGCACCTGAAAAGTCTCTTTAAAGCTATATTAACACACATTACATCTAGTGACTGCTGCACAATGGATATTTTCTCAAGTTTAATTTACTTCAAAAGTTTAAAATATGATTTTGTGGTTTCAGAGTTAAACACTGAACTTGGCACTTTCTTTGAATTATCTCATTTAACTCCTGAATACAACACTATCCAATAAATACTATTCTTATTCATATTTTACAGATAAGGAAACGGAGGCACAGATATTCTGTAACTTGACCAAGGTCTTAGTAAGGCTACTATGTAAACAATGGGTCTGATTCCAGCATCCATATCATTAACTACAGTAAGACATATATACCCTTTAATTGAGAATTAAGAAATATCTGGAAAAGCAGAAACTGAAAAAAAGTTGCTCAGAACACAATTTGATGTTGACAATATGTGATTAGTTCTACTCCATCTGCTCCACTATTCTCAAGGAGAGTATTTCTATCATGAAAAAGCTTTAGAGCAGCTCCTATCACAAATCAAGTCTTAAGGATAAGCAGAATAGCATCACATAAGGGGCATATGAGACAGCTATGGGGTGGTCAGTAAAAAGCTAGAAATTTGCTAAGGCTGGAACCCAAGGAAATGAAAGGAAATGGCTGAAAACTGATCAAAATCTGGTAATACAGAGCGTTTTTATGCCAAAGAGGCTAAACGTCATGTTGTGATGAAATAACAGGGAATCAAGACTTTATTATATACATGAATAATAACTAAAGTATGTTTCTGAAAAAATACTTGAGCCTGTAATATAGAGTACAGAATAGATAAAAAACGGAGATAGCCAAGAGTTAGGATGGGTTTGCAACAATCACTGACAGACTGACACAGACTAGAAGACAGTGTGAAGTCCTTATTTATCTCTAAGTTATCTGTTAAATGGTGGGGACTTGGTGACTGATTAGATATGAAGAAGAAGAAGCTGAGAATGACACACGTGTTTAAAGTTCAGATAATTTTCAGGGAGAGTGTTGCTATTCACCAAGGGGAGGGAAGGTAATTACAAGGTAAGTAGAAGGAGTTAGTTGGAAATACAAAAGGTTGCCATCTGCAGCAACATGGATGGACCTAGAGAAAGTTTAAGTAAGAGAAATACAAATATTTTATATCATCACTTATATGTGGAATATAAAAAATGATACAAATGAACTTATTTACAAAACAGACTCACAGAGAGACTTATGGGAGAGAAGGGATAAATCAGGAATATGGGGTTAACAGGTACACACTATATAAAAAACATACAGTAACAAGGTTTATTACTTTATAGCACAGGGAACTATATTCAATATCTTACAATAACCTATAATGGAAAATAATCTGAAAATATATATATATGCACATAACTGAATCACTTTGCTGTATACCTAAAACTAACACAATATTGTAAATCAACTACAGTTCAATTTTTTAAAAAATGCTATAATAAATCAGCATTAAAACCACTAGGGAAATGATGGAGTCCTGTAGTTTTGCCACAATGATTTTCTTTATAATCACACTGGGAATGAACACTATGAGGTGAATGGCATCATATAATTTTACTAGAAAAACTGAACAAAAGAAAAAAAGATCAGTACTTGAATAATTCTCTGCTAACTCTTAAGAATTAGGATAAGAGTTACACTACAAATTAAATATTGTTAAATGAAGAAATCTATTTGCATAGCTTTCATATTTTAGAAATAAGATTGCTCTAAGTTGTTCTTATTTACTATGAAATTTCAGTCCTTAAAAGGTCTTTTTTTATATACCAATGATTTTTAGATGAAAAACGTCTATATTTTGAATGACAGTTCTATTTGTGTATTCATGTCTAAATATATTTACATCAAAATCAGTTAATTATTCATCATACCTTGTCTGTACTGTCCTCTGAACCTGTCCAATCCTGCTGCCAGAAAGGAATGGAGTTTCAGGTTCCTCTATAATTTAACCACTTATAATCATGAGCCGACTATAATATGTTCTGTTATTCCCAGGAGAGGAAATGACAGCCCAGTTAAAAATTTAAAAATTAGGCAGAGTCTACTGTTCAGAGCACTTGCCTTATTAAATATACCAAATTTAGAACAGATCCAGCCCTAGAGGGGTTCCTTTTCTGCTGGTTTTCAGTGTGATTTTAGGACCTCAAATTGTGAAACAGGAAGAAGCAGTGGAAGCAGTACCCCAAAAGAGGTGGTGCCTAATTCTTAGTTTCCAGCTCCAAAGACTTAATTTAGTTGAATTCTAAACATGGCAATGAGACAGGCAGAAATGACTGAAAGCGAGAGAACAATTTATATTGTAAATAGGATGCAACCAAAATATCACTTATTCAACTCCGTACTTTCTCCAAAATCTAAACACATCAAAGGGAATACATCAAAGAACATTTAATTCTTACTTCTCTAGCATCCATCACTGTCCCCACACCAACTGTTAGAGCCATAGTTGGCACTTTCGATAAATCTCCATCAAAATATTTAGCATTTGCCAAAATGGTGTCCATTGCTAGAGTCTTTAATCTTGTCCTTGATACTAAACTGGATCCTGGCTCATTGAAAGCAATATGACCATCTGGACCAATTCCTTTCAAAAGAAATACATATACACACACATATATATGTAAGTGAATAAGGTTTCTCACATAAAGTAAGTAAGATTTTTCAAAGTTCAACGTATTTTAAGACCAAAGATAGATAGTCATAAACATGCTTACCTTGTTTTATTTGATAGCTGAATTTCTAATGCTGTATTAAAATATTTGTTCCTGTATTCGATTGAACAAGTATTTCAGTATTTTCCATATGCTGAGCATTGAGCTAGCATGATTCTAACAGTAGCAAAACTGAGTATCACTTTTACATAGTGATACTTTATAGTTTATAAAGCATATTCACATGCATCATCTCAACAACATATACATATTTAACAATCTTGTGATATAGTCAGATTAGGCATAATTATTTGCTTTATCCCCTCCACTTTTTTTTAAGCTCAAAAGGAAACTTCGATGCTCAAGGATAATAAATGACTTGTTCAAGGTAACTATTTAGCAAGTACTACAAAACTCAAATCTAAATTTTCTGGATTCCTAACCCAGTGGTCTTTATACTTATACTTTAGCTTGCTTGGTTCTAGTCTAGTTGGGGCAATTAACCACTGGATCTCCCTGTGGTATCGTTTCCTCACTTATAAAAATGTCTAGATTGGACGAGATACTATCTAAGGCAGTAGTTTTCTTCAAACTTTTCTGACTGTAACCTATGGTAAGTAACACACTTGACACTGCAATCTAGTACACATATAAATACAGTTAAAACAAGAACTGCATGAAATAATACTTACCCTTACTAGGAGCCATACAAGACCATTTCACTAACAAGACGTACAAAAGGGAAATGCTGGATGTGACTGGCCCTACTGATTTCACTGACCTAACACTGCATGACAACCCCAATTTGAAAACACTGCTTTAAGGAGACCCACTGTACTGTTCTAGGACTGCCTCTAAAATATAGGTAAGAATATGACATTTCTTATTTGAAGGAAATTGGAGGCAAATCTTTTTATAAAACCAACATTCTATGGCATAAATAAATCAAGTTTTAGACATATGTACCATACTAGCTAGTCAGATTTCTGGCAACCTCAATCAAAAAATAAACCTACAAGTTCTCTGGGTCAAAATATCATATTCTGCATATTTAATAATATATATATATATTTATTGACTCAACACACAATTCTAACAAATTTTTCCCAGGCTACAAGAAGGTAAAATATGACAAAGAGTAACCAGGTTTTGAAGGAAGAACAAATGAAAAGCTTAGGAAGCATATATGAACTACCAAAGCACAACATAACCTAGGAATTTTTAACAATCTAGGATCAATTTTTAATCTGGGACATAAAGCCAGATCTATATGTGGTTAATATATACAGTTTGCTTCCATTATTATGTAGGTGCTTTTAAGTTTTAAATGACAGATATGCATATCTCTCAAACTATTCTGTAAAACTGTTGTTTTTCCTCTTAAGTATACATCTGCCCAAATATTTTTATTAATATTTCTATACAGAGGAAAGGAATGAACCAGGAAAATAAAAGTTCCAGGAAAAACAGGAAATCCTCAAAGACCAATACTAGTGGTCTCACTGGTGATCTGGGTCATACAATGTGCACAGCAGAGCTGAAATTACCAGTAATGGTTCACGACAGAGAAGGGTCAATACATTCCCTTAATGACCATGAGTAAGTATCAACAATTGAGCTTCCTGATATAGTTGTATTTTTTAAATGTTCAGAATGTTTTACAAAGCTTTGTAAAATTTTCTTGAAAATAATTATGAACTCTAAAAACCACGGTTAATTCTTAATTCAGTCTTTAAGTCTAAACTAAGATACCAACACCTCTATGAAACATCTCTAAAACCTCTGAGTCTGGATTGCATGTCCTCTCAGTGTTCATATAGTTCTGTATCCTCATCACTTAGAACAAAACATGACACACAGGAGGCCCTCATTAAGTAATGGTTGAATAAATGAATAGCTGGTTGCTATTCTTTGGTATGTGCAGTACAGTTCTTCCCTCCTTCCATCCTGCTCTGCTCCCCTCACAACAGGGGCCAGATCAGTTATAACACTCCATATCTCGTCTCTTTTAGGCAGAACTGTTGTGGTCTAGGGAAAAGTACTTGTCCCACGTGGAAACAATCAGAATTTCTCTCCAGAAATCTGAAACTTGACCAGGGGTACAGAAAGAAAGAAGGCGCCCGGAGCTGAGGCATCTGAGGACAGCACTGCAGGAGAGGGTCAGTGAGTCCCTGCTTTGGTGATCTGAGGCTCCCTGGTTTTTGCTCTTCTAAAGACTTGTTTTTTCCAACTCTTCCATTAATTCTGTGAGTTACCCTAGAATCCCTCCAATGAATTCATTTTTGGTCCCTCTAGTAGATTACTGTTACTTGCAAATCAAAGAAGTCTAATCATGTAACCCAAGTACAGGGTTAAAGTCTTCCTCATTGTCTTTTTTTATTTTTACGTTTTAAACACAAATTATCTTAAGGTGATTTTAAAATTAATAATGCCTTTAGAGTCTATTTATAGATTTCCATGTTTGTGTTATTTCATTGCTGGGAGTGGATCAGGAATTGCATGATACACCTTACTCTTTCTCTCAACACTTTTGTCATCACAAAGAATGAGAACTCTGAGAGTATGTATTTCCTCCTTTCTCCTTTGTATGGAGGGAAGGGCGCTCCTGCTCCACTTCCCGGGAGTGAGCAATGGTGGATTTATACTCTTGAGCTCTTCTCTCATCCTACTGTTTCCAGTACAGAGGGGAGGCGTAGGAAACCCCATTCTGGCCTCAAGCCCAACCTGCAACCTCTAATCCAACTTTACCTTTAATAAAGCTGATATTTTGATCCCATTTGGCTCAGTTCTTAGTGTTTTTATTAACCAAACCCTGGAACAAAAGAAGGGTAAGTGGTAAGACCCAGATACCAAGCCTTATCTTGAAAATCCAATGATAACAACCTAGATCAACAAAGGCAAAGAATCAAATGAGATTCTTTCATGAGTACACATCCAATAATAGGGTATCCTAAACAGGAAAAAGTTCAAAGAAAATGCAATAGCCAGCTCTTCCCTATACACGATTATATGTCCCTTGGATGATAAATATAAAATGTCAGACCTTGCACCCTGGATCATCACGAGCTTACAGTGAAGGTGTTAATGGAAGAGGAAAGGAAATCCTCTTAATATATTTTTTTTTTGCAAGGGAGAACTACAGGAATTTTAAGACAAAAATTGGTTAAAAAACAAAGTAAAGTTCTTTTTTAGTAGTAAGAGTCAGTAATAAACATAAATAATCATGATTATGCTCCATCAGTTTCAAAGGGAGAAACTAAGGTAGTTTATTGTGAGGAAAATCAAGAAAACTTTAGCTAAAAAGAAATAAGAAGTGACTTAAAGCTCTGGGGAAAGAAGAAAGTTCTACTAGAAATCTTTAAAAAAAAAAAAGGGATATTCAGCCTTAAACATTACATTAAGCTAAACTGTTTTCTAAAAAGAGGCAAAAGGACAAGATGGAGTTAAAGAGTTCTTATCAGTTTTTTTCCCCCCAGTAAATTCCATTTCCTCGAATTGAGTCCCCAAGGGATTTATCACAAAGATCCTTATGTAAGGTCAATAAATTAACAGGGAAAAAAAGGTCCTCAAATAAAGAAGCAAAAAAATACATTATTCATACAGCCATTTTTAATGACGAAGTTCTAATAACTACCATGTCGTTTTGTATAATGCTAAATCAGTGAAACTATTTTTTGACATAAATAAGATAAACTTGATAAAAAGTAAGATAGGCATATTATTTTATAATAATTCTACTTAAATTTGGTATAGAGTTTAGAAAATCTAAAAAATGCATGGGCACAGCACTCAAACATTTTCAAATACATACTGCCTTAGCCTTGATACTGGTAGGTGCAAACAGTCATTATCTCTGAATTGAGCCATATGGACAAAAATGGAGTGCAAATGTTTTCCAGAAATACTGAAGTAATATTAGCAAGTTTTATTTAAAACATAGATACTTTCTATTTTGAAAAGCAGAGCAGTCTAACTTGGATTCTTGCTCAGATAAAAACAATCCCATATAAGCAAGAAAGTTAACTGATACAAGTTCTGCTAGGCTGAGATAACACTTTTCCCAAAGAGAAATTTTAATTTTGCTGGTTACCCTTAGAGGTAAATCGGTAAAAAAGCAAGACAGTCAATGAACTAAGGAAAAATTACTTCAGAATCTATACTTCAGAGACAGAGTAGATTAACACTTAATAGAATGCCAACTACATACCAAGCACCACACAAGGCATATAACATATATAAAATATGTTATAACATGGTTAATTTGTCATAAATTTGGAATAATTTATATTAATCCTGTTGTACAAATGAATTATACTGAACTTCAATAAACTTCCCAAGGTCATACAGATAGTAAGTGGCTAAAATAGTATGCTGTAAAGCCCAATTTTCCCCAAGGGCAACCAAACACCTGAACAGTACTTGGCCACCTTAATCATAAATTAAGCTCAATACAGCTCCACTGAAGATCTAATTCATATAATTTTGAGAAGTCTTCTAAAAACTTAATTAGAATATATAGCCAGACCTACTGGATATATATATATAGAGAGAGAGAGAGAGAGAGATAGATAGATAGATATATTATTCATTTAAAGCTTTAATATGTTTAAATACTAAAGATTCTGGAAAAACCAATTTTGGTTTCTTAAAGTTCATATGACACTGTACTATTCAGATGCTTCGTACCGATGACAGAAGACATACTGTCATTACAAAGGACGAAACTTTTTCACCTCTTTTCAAAAGTAGATCATGAACACACATATACACATTTGTGTGTGCATATATATACACATTTATATTTCAATTGGAGTTTAGTTAATTAAACATTTATTTACTTTAGAGTTTATACAGCTTAATTCATAATGACTAAAGGCTGATGATTATCTCTTACAACATTCTTAACTAACTTCTTAGTGAAATGAAGCTATTTAAATGATCGTAGAGAAATGTTAAAATCTACCTGTTCTACATGCAAACTTTTTGAGATTAATGCTGTAATGTGATAAGAAGGCTGGGTTGGAGTTTTAAAGAAACAGTAAAAGAGTAAAAGTATCATTTAGGAAAAGAAACGCATCGCTTATTTTATAAGATGTGGTAAACTGTCAATTTTAATAAGGTAATTAGATGAATTTAGTGGGGATTAGGACCTATTTCTCAAGACATAATCTAAACAATTCCAACTTGCAACATTGTTATTTTTTGATGAAAATAAATTTTAAGAAATCAACAGCTAAATAAATGGGTGCTATAAACAGTCATAGGTGTCCATTACATTATACAATGGTAAGATTTTTTTATTTAAAATACCTAATACAAATACTAACAACTGAATGTTTTACATACCTCCAACAAAAAGATCGATTCCTCCAGCTTCTTTTATTTTCTTTTCAAATGCATCACATTCTGCTTGTAAATCTGTAGCATTTCCATCCAGGATATGGGCATTACTAGGATCTATATCAATATGCTTAAAAAAGTTATTCCACATATAAGAATGGTAGCTTTCAGGATGATTCCTGGGAAGTCCTAAATACAAAGTTAATGAATAAAAATGTAACTAATTCTAGAAATAAATCTAAAGTTTACTTTTCTTATTAAGCCATAAATGATTTTCAAAATATTTAATCTTTCTATAGTATATGCAATTTAAAAGCATTCTTATATGGAATATATACTTATTATGTGCCAGGCATTATTTTAACCACTGTACATATATGTTAACTGAATTAATTTGTCCAACATATACAGAAATACTATTATCATTCTCATTTTATAGATGAACAGAAACACAGAAAAGTTAAGTAACTTTCCCAAGGTCACATAGCTCACAGAAGGGCTAAAATTAAAACAAAGAAGTCTAGTTCATGTGCATTTAATCACTTATACTCCACTTCTCAAATGCAAAATTATCACCAATGAAATTGATTTATCTGTTAAACTCAACATAAATTAACTGGCCACACACCTGCAATGTTGATCCACATGCCTCCTCTATACTTCCTATTTGTATGCAAGATATACTAAATCACAACAGTTCTTTGGCAATCATTAATGGCAGGCAACCATTAAAAATGTATTTCTATAAAACTTACTAAAATTTTAACACAGAGTTTGTATGTATCACAGATCTCTCCAGTTAAGCAAGTTAACCATCAATAAATTATGAAAGGTTCACAGCTACAAATATAAAGAATCTTATATTTGAAAGATATTTTACTAATTACTTTTACATACATATTGCTTAATACGTCCCCACAACAACACTGGTTTTAACTTTGCCTTAAGGGAAAAAGAAAAAGAGACAATGAGAAATGTGAATGAATTGGCTCAAAGTTACAAGACTGGTAAGTGGCACAGCTGAAGATGAATGCAGATCTTCTGATTTCTAGTCCCATATTCCTTCCACTATGTCATGCTGTCATCAGAAAAACATAATTTTTTTATATAACCTCCCAACCTCACCATAAGGTAGCACATTATACTCTAGAAATATATTCATATTACTTTCAAAACAAATTTAAGTAATATTTAAGTAATGTTAATATTCTCAAAATATATTCATGTTATTTAAAATATAACATATTCAAATAATATAGCTTACCTACATATTCATCCATGTTAAAGGTCTTCACATATTTAAAAGAAAGGTCTCCATTCTTGTGATATTCTATTAGTTTTTTATAACATCCTAAAGGTGTGCTCCCTAGAACAGATAAAGATTCCGTTTTTTAACATAACTTGAAAAATCTAATTTTAAAAACTTTATATTAACCTTATTCTCTTCTTATTTAATGATATTCTACATTTCTAATTTATTAGGCAAACAAGTATTAATTTAAGTACCTATTCAAATAAAAAACATATGTTGAATTAAACTCTTTACAAGGTACTCTGAAATTTTAGTAAAGTAGAATTTGTTGAATAAAGGTAGAAATTTGTCTACAGAAATAACAGTTTGGAAAAATTATACTTGAATTATTAGATATTGGAATTAATGTTGTATATTCCAGGATTAGAAACTTCAAGAGAGCACATCTGAATTAAAAGAAAAATAAAGATCCCACCTTTAGAGAAAAATGTTTATTTAGAGAGGGATTTGTAGCATAAATGATACATAAATAGGTCAAGCGTTGACCATTTAATGAAATTAAAAGGGAAAACAGCTAAATTTAAATACTGCCCCTATTTTAAAATAGAAGGCGGCAAGGATTGAGTGAGGAAACTAATCCTGTAAGTTTTTAACTAAAGCTCCTGTTTCTAATTTTGTTATTGTCAGTGGTTGTCAGCTAAAATGTGCAAAGTAAAATTACTTCTAGGAAATGGAATACTGGCTTTGGATACTTCATCTGAGCTCTACTAGTGTTTTATAAAATTAGGATGTTTGATAGTGCGCAATATGCACAGGAAAGACGAATTCACCCACTTGAGGATGGCCTCCCTTTGTTTTTTAAATTTGCTGTATTTTTTCATTTTAACTGCAAATTCAAAGGTTAGACTGACTACATTCTTACAAGCAACGTAGCCCACCCAGTCCTGGTCAGAGGATTGATTCCTAGTCCACCCACCATCACAAGACACAACACAACACCCGTACACAAAATTTCTCATCAAGAGGCAGGCAGAGTGTGACAGAACTGGACAGCCTCTGGCAAAATTAAAAAAAAAAAAAAAAAAGGGAAATTCTAGAGTAGTAAAAAGATCGCCTTTCATTTAAGATGACAGAATAACAGAAGTGTCTATAAATAATAAATATCACATAGGTTCAGAGAACAGAAGACTAATAGATTTTCTTAAAGTTAAGCATACATATTGTTTTAAATTGAAATTACAATTTAAAATTTATCTGGTCCAACTTTTCAATTCCTTCTGAAAGAACTACAGCCCACTAACGTGAAATCTGGCTATAAGATGAAGAAATCTCCTCCCTCTTCCTCCTTTTTAGAAGCATAAACAAACCTGTGTCTATCTTTCAGTGTCAAGAGAACAGTTACAGGACTTCCCCCTTAATTTAAGGACATATGAACTAAAAAAAAATCAGAAGTTATTACAATTGTGATGACAGAAAATACATTCATTTTCTATTTTTTAATCAAAGTGGCTGAAGAGAAAAAATAATGGAAAATATGGTACAGGCTGAACTGGTTAAAGAAACGTCAATTTAATATATTTGCTTCCAATATTCATTTATTAACATAACTAATTTAGCAAATCCTTATTATGATTCAGATAAAGATTAAGATTGTTTCTACCCTAGAAGAACTTACAAGATAGGGACAGACAAGTACAAAATAACAGGGAAAACTATTATAAGTAACGTATAAGAAGTCTGGAGAACTACAATGAATCAAAGAAAAGCCTTGCTTGTTGGAGGAAGGATCAAAGTTGGCATTTCAACTGAGTGCTGAAGAAGAGGTGGAATTCAACGATGGAGTAAGCTGTAGTTGAAAATAGAAAAAAGATGTGGGAAGAGATTCAGAGAAGAGACAGCTGTATGCTTATCATGTGCTAAATGCTATGGTGTTTCATACCTGAGCAAACGCAAATCTCACAAGTTTGGGATACTGGCATCATCTTTCCCATTTTGAAGATGGAATAACTGGGTCAAAAAGATAAAGTAATGTGCCAAATATCACACACATGGCAGTGAAGCCAGAGATTCAAGAGATTCTGTCTGCTTCCAGAGCTCACAAAGTTTTTATTGTATGGTATGCTAACAATACGAGTGAAAGTAAAGCCAGCAAGTTCAGGCCTGTTCCATGAACTACAGTCTAGTCTGCCTGCCATGACTCAGTGTGGGGAATGGTGGGAATGCACCTGGGAGGCAGGTCATGCCCCACAGCATGCAGGCTCTTAAATGTCATGCTTGTCACCATCACTTCAATAAATATACAGTGAACAGACACTCCCCAGAACTGTGCTTGGTGGGGCATAATTCCAATATAGCATGTTATCCACAATTACAGAAATGTGTGTTCAAATTTCAAAAGCACGGGGGATAGAGAGGGAGCACGATTAACCCTGTCACTAGTCAATGAAGGAGAAAAGTAGAAAATGTCAACAAAGGTATTCCAGAGATAGACCTTTGGCAGGTGTATCACTGGGCAGTTCTTTATCCAAGACAAAGCAAGAGCTGTACATCTAAATACATAAAAACATGCTTAACTCTGCTGGCATTTATGACTCTGAAGCCATTCTGCCCCTACACACAAATTACTATTTATTTCTATATCATGATTAAGACAAAGTGATTAAGGCAGTTGGGCTGACCATAGCCCAGGTTAACAGTATGGAAGCTGATGCATGGTTGTGTTCAACCACTGGGGCTCACATACCAGAAGTGTGGGTGCTGAGGGGGCCCATTTCAGGTATGCACAATTATTAAAAGTCTTTCTTTGCCATTCTAACCAAGATCTACTACCCTTGTCTAAAAAACAAGAAGCGAAACAACAAACAAAAAAATCAACCTGATAAGCTAAAGAGGACCTTTCATGGAAATTATGCCAGTGAAAAAAATTATGATTGTATATTTTCTGTAACTGGCATGTATGAGGGGAGGAGCAAGAGGAGAAAATACTGTTTAAACAAAACACACTTATAAGAACCTTGAATTTATATAGAGTTTACAATATACAGGGGTTTGCACAAACACTATCTTACATGAGCCTCAAAACAGCCTTGTGAACTATGAATTTTCTTATCTTTCTTAAAGGTAAGGAAACCAAGAATTAGGGTGTAGAATAAATACCTTGCAGTCACCAAGAAAGTAGCAGCTCTGATACTCTTTTCCTGTGGATGTCAACAATATCAAATAAAGTACCACGAGGTCAGTGACACTACTTGGTTATTTTTTAGGAAAAACCTTAACAGAGAACTTAATCCAATAAAATACACAATTAATGCTTACATGTATCCTGTCATGAAGACATACCAGTCTTCAATTTTTATGATACTTCTATAATAGAAAATAATCAGAGAAATCTGAGGCATGTGAGGTAAAATCAAGAGTTCTGTTGAACATAGTTTGGGTATCTCTTAATGATTAATAACAAGGCTGATCTACTAAGAAATTAAAGAACAGTGAAAGCAACATCCCTAAATACAAACAAAAGACTACCAGAAAAAGGTACCAAAAAAATACTACGATCATCACTTGAGCTATGATATTTTCTCTTGCATTTTGGAGTGGTAGGCGAGACAGAATTTTAACAAAGAAAATAGGAATGAAATGTAGCTACTAGGTATGTCTGTATCTGTATTGATACATTCGGCTTTATGTACTAATACATTAAATCAGTGATGTGGCAGGAAATAAACAGGAAACATATTTTACTAAGGAAGACACTTCAATCCCACTACCTTGAGCATCTAATATAGAAAAAATGGTGATTACCTGTGGGTAAACCCAGTGTAAAATATCTGTCCTGTCCAGGTTTGAACTGAATGATGCGATTACAGATGTATTTGGCTGCCCATTCACTAGCCAAGTCATAGTTATCAAGAATTACAAGCCTCATTGTGGTGATGCACGGCTTCCAGGACAAGAAGTTCAAACCTGAGAAAAGTCCATTGCAAAGCACTGTAAGTAATTTACAGTCAAACAGAAGTGTGATGCACTGATGGCTTTAAGAAGGACATTACTTAAGAACCTCATGCATGTATACAAATACAACCTGTGCTTTAAAAACAGTAATAATGGCTGTTTTCTTCTGAACAGACCTTGGGTTCTGGGCAGTGGGCTAGGTCATTTAAGCACATATATCAATATTCACAACAATCTTCTGACGTAAACACCACATCTTGTTTTGGATGAGAAGAGGGACTCACACAATTTTCCTGAGTTCACACAGCTACTAAGTGACAAAGCCAAAATTTATATCAAGGCAAATTTACTATAAAGACAGCACACTGCACTGCCTCCATAAGGATACTATATAAAGCAACATAAACCAAACCAAAGGCAAACAAAGAAGTAGTCATTTATTGATTTCAAGTTAACGGTATTAATGATTACTCAGCAACTTTCGGGTTACTTAGTAAAATCCAGAACTCCCCCTATGAATGATGTAATAACTAAATCTCCCTTTGTTGAATAATGTTTCTATAAAATGATACCTGCACTTTTAAAAAATCTCAATCACTAGAGAAAGGTACCAAAAAAAATTGACCCAAATCCTGACACCCAGAAATAATACTCATTACTATCAGTTATACATCATTCTAGGTATTTATCTAATGCACACGTATAAATACGATATATAGAATAATTTCTAACAATGGGATCAAACTACACATGCTATTTTTAACAAAAAGCTTAACATTTAATTATTTCTGCATTCAACAAAAGCAAAAGAAAATAAACTAAAGAAACTGCTGATCTCTGGGGAAAATTAAAATTCTTCACACAAAGCAATTTCAGTTTTTAAAAGAATATTCTAAGGTTAAGAAAAAATGTTATAAAAATATTAAGAGATCACAGTCACTTAAAAACTATATGATTCCATTTTAGACAATGAGGATTGACCAACTACCAGGAAAGACGTGAAAATTGCATTTTTACACTTCCTCACATCCCCTGATTTCTGTATGACATATTATTTTTATATTGTCAAGATTTATAACATTTATACTGTGTTCTACAACCATAATTCCCAGATTTGAATTCTTAGTTTTATATTTAAATAGATCCGTCACCCACACCAATCCTTTTACAAATGGTTTCAGCAGTCCTGAATTCTGTACCCACAAAACTTACATACAGCAGTAAGTCAACTTTTTACATTAATGGGAGTAGTAGGTCTTATCACAATGAATATATGTAATCTAAATATGTCCTTAAGAACATAACAATGTAGAATGCTGGCAGAACAACAAAAAATTGCAATCACCATGATCTAAAATTCTGGCAGAGTAACGAGATAAATAGCATTTACAGACAATAATTTACACAGTAAGTGATAAATTCAGTCCAACAAATGGACTTGGCCTCGATTTAAATTCATCAATAATCTAATGCCAGAAACAATTTCAAAGTTACACGAAAGAATCAGAAACATTTCCTGGCTGTTGTGGTCATAAAGACACATACCTATTTCTAACATTCAGCAAAATGACTATTGGTACAAATAAAAAAAAAAAAATCCTGTAAGATGAGGAGGTGGAAGGGCCTTAGAGCGTTCCAAGTGTCTTCTGTGCTCTGGGCTTGCTGTTTCCTTCCTCAATTCAACACACTTGTGAGGGAGGGCCTATTAATTATCAAGCACTAAGGTCACACAAAAATGACTAACATAAGGATCCTACTGTCAAAGGGCTTAGACTCATTTAATAGTCTCTGGTGTGGAACTATCATTCTCATTTTTCAGATATAGAAAACTGTAACTCAGAAGTTATAAAGCTATTAAACAAATGGAGGGTCTATCCGACTGAAAGACACAGGCTTCAAAAGTGCCTTGTAAGTAAGAATCAATTAGGATGCTTGTTAAAAAAGATTCCCAGGACCCTTTCCCTGGACATGGTGTTTCAGCAGATCTGAAACGGGGTTCTGAGAATCTGCACTTTTACAAATATAACAGGTGATTCTTACACTCAGGATACATTGGAAAAGAACCCCATGCAAGATGACTTCACTGCAGAGAGGTTCAAGAAAGTCTCTCAGGCCAAGTACAGGCACGTTTTGTTTTCTTAAGCTTGTCGGTGAGCTCAGAGTTCACTTCCAAAAGTCCCAAATGAACACTTCACCCAGAAGAAAGTAGGAAGTTTTTGTCACATTTGTCAGATTAAAAAAAAATGTGTTTTTTTCCTCCAGTTTTGGCAATCCTCAGAGATCCAAACTACTGTGGCCCTGAGCCATTCTCCAGCATCTTGACCCGACAGCACTCAAAAAATGACACAGCACCACTCGTTCCCTCATCTTCCTCTGGTGCTGATTCATTTTGGATGTTTATCCCCCGGAGAAAGGGCTGCCGAACACAAATCTCGGAACTTTAAAGCTGGGTGGGGACTTCTAGACGACTTGGGTTACACAGCTTTTTTAGAACCTGCACTAAAATCTAGAACCTAGACTTGCAGAGCCCCTGCTGCTCCGAGCTTTTGCCCTACAGCACACTGCACCTGACCTGAAAAGATCGCTCAAGCCCCGACTAGGAAGGAGCCCTGCGAACCTGCTTCCACCGCCTGCCAGCTGCGCCCCATCACTCCGCAAACCGCAAGGCAAGCAAACCAGGATGACCATCAGGAATTTTTAACAACAGGAGAAGGCCGCGAAAGAGGAGAGGACAGGGAACCCCTCCCGGAGGCGCAGTTCCGAAGAGGACGACCAGCCAGGTTTGCGGGCGGCCAGGCTGGGGACATCAGGCCCCCGCCTCCAGGTTCCCGGACCCCGACCCGCCCGGCGTCCCCATCCCGGCATAAAGCCCACCGTGGGGGCAACGACCAGCGGGTCTCCGCCCGACTCCCCTTCCTCGCCCATGCCCGTGGACTCACCGGCTGGCCCACTAGCTCTTCCCACGCTGGAACGGCGGGCGCAGCCCACACACGGCCACCGCGGAGCCACCCCAACCGGCGCTCGGAGCGCGAAGCTAAGGACCCGGATGTAAACCCCGGCGCGGCGGGGACGGCGGCGCGGCCCGCGAGTGCTGCGCATGCGCGCGCGCCGGGCTCACTGCGGGTGAGGGCGCGGCGGTGCCCGCGGGTTCTGGGAGACAGGAAGCCTTTGCTGACGTGAGTCTCCAGTCCTGGACCATCGGCCCGGCACCGCTCTCTTCATCTCTCAGAGGTGGAATTGCGGTAGATTCTTTGGGTTTATAAGACTTAGAGTGTAGGACCGCGTTGCTTATATATAAGCATTACTTTAGTTGTTGCTTATAATAGCAGTATGAATTTATTCTCTCTCCCCCAGTCTACATTTATTGAACGTCTGCTTTGCAAGCACAAAGTCAGCTAAGCGCTTTTTTAAAATCAGTAAGCTCATCTGAGTCAAGTTGAACACGCAGAAAGGCAAACTGCCACGGGGAACCGTGGAGCTGCTCAGTAAGAGGAAACACTAGAAGGAGATTTTAATGAGATACAAACTTGCCCTGAGTTAATTCTAGGAAAGGAGTAGAGGAAGCAAAATCAGCTTTGAACTGAGTATCGCAGATCTTTGTTCATGAGGGAGATGGAAGGAAGCAGGGCTGGGGAAGTTATTGCTAAGAAAGCAGCAGTCACTTGAAGGAAGTGTCCCATGGTCTCACCAGGTCCCATTAAAAACATTTACAGTCCTGTTAGGAACTGCAGTCCGACTACCAGCATCGGGTAACAGGCAGATTCAAGTTTCCTTGGACACTACAAGGATAGTACTATGTCTCCAAACTCCTTATCTAAAGTTCTGCACCTGGGCTGTAAATCCAACCTGCTTCTCTGGATCAAATAAACCCTTTGGGCTTAAAATTTTAGGCAAGAGAGAAATGTTCCATTCTCAGATATAACTTCAAACAGCAAAATTTCTCACAGAGTGATAACTGGGGACAGTTTCTTAGCACTATAGCCTTGAGGTAGTTTTCAAAGGAGGTTTTTAACACCTCCCCAGTACTATAATTTATCATATAACAAAAATCTATTGTGTATTTATTGTAGGTCAAAAAGACCTACAAATAATAAAAAAAAGAGTCTTGCAGGGACTATTATTGGAGCATAGAAGGATGTTTATGAAATATATTCTTTTTCAGTGGTTTTACTTCTTTATGTGTTTCTGATACTAGAAAAGTAGGTTCCGTCCCCACTGTAAGTGCTGACAATGGTTAATTCTGCTTTGATTGCACTAAGTCATGTCCTGTCTTCCTTTTCTCTCAAGTTGTTGTTTCTCACCTCTTGCAATCCATGTGCTATGCTCTGTATACCAAGATTAAAGCAAGAAGTTACTTCCATCAGAAATATTTAATACTGAACAGAAGACTGTTTTTGACAAGGACAGGGACAAGTGTACTGAGTCATTCATTTGTTCATTCAATAAATATTTACCAATTATGTGCCAGACAACAACGTGAGGAAAACAGACACACAGTCCTTGCTCCCAGTGAACTAAGAGTCTTGTGGAGATACAGACGTCACCCAGTAAATCCTAATAAAGGAAAGCAGTAAATCCTAATAAAGGAAAGCAGAGTCCTGAGACTCTGAGATACTCCACTATGGGGATACCTAAGCATAGAAAGCACCTGTGTCTTGTCTTCCAAGTAAAGCCCCAAGGAATGGCAAGACTAACAGAAAGTCCCCCTGAACCAAGGTTTTGGATGACAAGTTTGGTAGAAAAGTTTTAACAGGCTGTCACCCAGGGAAGGGGACAGGTTTACGGTGGCATAGTACAGTAGAGGTGGCTATGGAGTTGACAGGAAAATACGCCTAATGACAGTCCTGGTCTACCACAGGCCACAGAGAAGCTTCAGACAGCCGTCATTCTGTGTAATCTTGAGTAGCTGAAGTTAGCTGATAGAGAGCCTGAAACAGTGTTCTGGTCAACGTGTATCATGCAAATGGAAGCCAGTGGACAAATGATGTTTCAGCAGACACCAATGAGGATTTATACTGAAGACCAAGACACACAGGAAGAGATACCCGTCCAGTGCAGTGGAAGTCAGAGAAGAGAAAATGACTCTAGAACGGATGCCTCCACTGATGTAGACACCAATAGTCTCCCCACCATAGATGCCAGCCTGGGTCAAAGGTGGGGAAAAGGGATATTCAGAAATGCCATAACTGACACTTGAAATGACTGAAAAAACCACTAAAACAATGAAATGAAACTGAAAATAGCTTTTAAGTTTCCCACTGTCATGAGAATAGGGCTTGAGGGAAAGATTTATGTAAAAGTTACATTAAAGCTGTATATTATATAGATATACTACAGAAAAATAGGAAATGGCACATTGGAATTTATGGCCTATAAAATTTTAAAAAACCTGGATGCTACAAAATGTTTCAGCAGGGTATACCATGATCAGATGTGTATGTGAAACAAAAATCACCCTGTATGCCTGTGAAGAGTCAACTAAAGTTGGGTCTGGAGTAGATCAGGGAAAACTGGATTTTTGCCAGAAAATACAGAGGAGGACCCTGTAAGCCCAGGAGTAGTTCGCACAAAGGTATGCAGGCAGGAAAGTAAAAGCCATAAGCACGGAATTCTGAATGACTCCCAGGCGGCTAAGAGTAGGGTATATTTCAAAAACTAGAGAAAGTTCATCTGGAAAGAGATGGAGATGACATGAAGTACCTTGCCGATGATGTGTAGAAGTTGGACTTAATATTATGAGCAGTGGGGAACCACCTGAGCTTTATGAACGTAGTAAGAGACTAGCAGATTGTGTTATAGGAAGAAGGAAGCAGAGTGGGTGGGGACTATATTATAGCCACAAAAATCGAGACACAGAAATACTATAGGCTCATTTTGTATTTTCCTGAACCAGCTCTAGTACTAGGCATTTTACTAATGGCTGATAGTGTTTTTGTTTTATTTTGTTTTGTTTTGTTTTATCAAGAATGTTAGGTTTGACTCCCTGCATCTATTGAAACGATGGTATGGTTTTTCATTTTGGTCTGTTGGTGAATTACAGTGATTGATTTTCAAATGTGAAATATACCTTGCATTGCTGAGATAAACCTGGCCCAAGCATGGTTTTCCTTGGTCATGGTCATCACCTTTCAGTCAGAAGCAACCAAAGATTTGCCTGCAAAGTTTTTGACAAATGCCTCTCTCCCCCTGGGTACGGCTTTAGCACTAGGCGAGAGTTCAGAGCTGGACAAAGTAAAACAAGCCTTGAAGTGACTTCTTCAAAGATTCTTCTCTCTTAAACAGAGAGGTTAAGTAATAATGGGCTGTTCTTTGGGAATGGGGGTGTGGAAATGGTCCAGCCCAGTTTTTCCTCCCTATAGTACTGGGAATGTAGGATTTTTGTTTGTTTGTGTTTTGTTTTTCTCAAGGCTGCCATTGATCCGGGAGCAGGGAATGAAACGAGGGTCAGTTAAAACACACAAAACTGTTACTGACAGCCAGCAACTTAATGAAAAGCCTTCCCCCTGTTGCTGCAAGTCTGTCATTAGTCTCCAGAGTTCTCAGAAAGTTGATTTTGATGGTTTGTCAATTTTCTTTCTGTTTTGATGGAGGGGCAGGTTTTTGCATATCCTCACCCTACTATTTTTGCTGGTGTCCTCAGTTGATTACTTTTTGAGCGAGCCTTGATAGTTAGTCTTTCAAGAAATTTAAATTTTCTGTTGCCAAAATTATTGGCATAGCATTGTTTATAATATTCCCTTGTTATCTATGCAATCCATAGTGATTTCACTTCTCTTATTTCTGATATTAGTGAACTGTTACCTTCATTTGTTTTCTCCCTAATCACTGTGGTAAGATGTTTATTAATTTAATTGACCTTTTCAAAGAACCAGATTTTGGACTGATTTCTGTTTTCCATTGAATTGATTTCTACTCTGATCTTTATTGTTTCCCAAATTCTGCTTACTTCAGGTTGAATTTTCACTTATTTTTCTGATTCCTTAAGGTGGAAGCTGAGATCATTGTTTTGCAACCTTTGTTATTTTCTCATGTAGACGTGTAGTGCTTTCTGTTTTTCCTCTTAGAGTTAATGGCATCTCTCAAATTTTTGTGTCTTATCTTTTTTCATTCAGCAGAAAATCCTTTCTAATATCTTTTCTGATTTCTTTTTGACTCATAAGTTATTTAGAAATGTATTCTTAGTTTCCAGATATTTGGGTGTTTTCCAGATAGCTTTCTGTTTTTTATTTCTACTTTACTTCATTTTTGTTCAAAGAATATCCTTTGTATGATTTGATTCTTTTTAATTATAGTAACACTTGTTTGTAGCCCAGAATATGGTATATATTCATGTCCACTTGAAAAAAAGTGTGAATTCCACTTTGGGGATGGATTGTTCTATTAGATAAAGTTGGCAGTGTTCAAGTCTCTTATATCTTTATTGATTTTATGTCACTTATTTTTGTCAATTAATGAGAGAGTAATGTTGATATTGCGGATAATTACTGTAGATTTATGTATTTTTATTGCCGTTTTATCAGTGTTTGTTTCATGTCTTCTGATGCCCTGTTATTAGGTACATAAACATTTAGGTTGGTTATGCAGTTTTGATAAATTGATCACTTTATCATCATGAAAGGATCTCCTTTACCTGTAATAATATTTTTGTTCTTCAGTCTTTCTTGTCTGATATTAATATCACCAATCCAACTTGCTTTTGATTAGTGTTTAAACAGAATATAGTTTCCATTCTTTTACTCTTAAACTATTCATGTATTTATGTTTAAACTTTTTTTTAAAAGAAAACAGATTTACTGAGGTATGATTGATATTCAAAAACTGCATGTATTTAATGTGTACAAGTTGATGAATTTGGGCATATGCATGCACCTGTGAAACCATCATCACAATCAAGGAAATAAACATACCCATCACCTTCACAAGTTTCCATATGTTCCCTCCCCTGCCTTTTTTTGCACGGTAAAAACAATTAATATGGAATCTACCCTCTTAACAAAATTTTAAACTGCAGTTTTAAGTATAGTATTTAAATTTTAAGTATAGTATTGTTAACATAATAGGTGCTATATTATATAGCAAATCTCTATAACTT